ACATACATTTCAAAGAAAAGGCGCGAAGATTTACTCGTGACGTAATGTATCGTGACTCTTCGTTCATAGTAGAAAAATGTTTTGTTGTAGAAGTGCAGAAAAAGATTAGACGGATACGTTTGTATAAAATACAGGTAATATGGAATTGCATGGAATAAAAAAGTTGAATACACAAAGAATAAAGGAAGTAAACAGTATCATCAGTTCATCAGTAATAGATTATTTGTTATTGTTTAAACTCAAGTAACAAATTCCGATGTGAATCTGCTTGCACAAAATTTGGCTAGCTAGCTCTCATTTTATAATTCCGCATTATATAAAAAAAACTTTTAACCTCCCTGACGCTCGTTACTTCAGGCAATGATACAAAATAAACATTGATGATGGCTGGTAAAATTGCGCTGGTGTAGTGTCTTCCATATTGAATATTCACGAAGGCGATCTGGGTTTAATCCCGAATTTGTTTGCTTAAATTTACGTTTTCAACTTTATAAATGATGTTGAGTGTTTTTGTTTTGTTTTGTTTTGTTTTTGTTAGAGATGATAGAACATGATTTCTAGATTGGCGAAGGGACCTTTTCATGCGTCGTCGTTAGTTCGGGTCGCTTCCGGAAGTGAATTTAAAAAATCAAATTTTTCAACTTCAATATTTTTCTGTATTATTTGTAGGGTTAAGAGAGCCTCCTTTCAAAATACTAAATATATAATTTGTTTTCGAATTGATAAATCCAAACTCTTGATATTTGTCAATTTCACTTTGAAGTGGGAGTTGAAATGGCGTAATGATTAGCACATTGGATTCTCACGCTGACGACCAGGGTTAAATCTCCAGAGTGTCACTTTTTCAGCTTGAATTTACATTTTTATTTTCAAAATCGGACGGAAGACCTCTCATTGCTCGCAATGAGTTTCTAGTTATTATTATTATTATTATTTTTCTTCCTGGGTACTTTTTTGTCCGTGAGTGATCTCCGAAACTACACATCCGATTGAGGTGAAACCTTTTTAGGGTTACTAGGCATGTTATGTAGATTTGCGGAACGAAGGTCATTTTGCGCGCGCGTGCGCGTGCAATGCTTAAAATGACCAATATACTTGAAATAGCTGTAACTTTTATATTTTTTGATGAAATGCTTTGATACTCAGAATATAAGGATATATTAAAAGTATGAACAAGATGACATGGTCAACATGCACATGCATGCACGTACGCGCACGCGCAAAGCGTCAAATGACCAATTTACTTGATATAGTTGTAACTTTGAAACTTTTTGATGAAATGCTTTGATACTCAAAATATTTGTATGTATTTAAAGTGTAGACAAGGCGACATGATCAACATGCACATGCATGCATATGCATGCACGTGCGCGCGCGTGCAATGTGTTAAATGACCAATTTACTTAATATAGCCGTACTTTTTATATTTTTTGATGAAAAGCTTTGATATTAAAAATATACAGATATATTAAAAGTGAAGACAAGATGATGTGGCCATCATGCACATGCATGCACATGCGCGCGCGTGCAATGTGTTTAATGACCAATATACTTAATATAGCCGTAACTTTTATATTTTTTTATGAAAAGCTTTGATACTAAGAATAAACAGACATATCATAAGTGTAGACAAAATGGCATGGTCATTATGAACATGCATACAGGTGCGCATGCGCGCAATGCTAAGATGACCAATATACTTGATATAGCCTGAACTTATATATTTTTTTATGAAATGTTTTGATACTGAGAATATAAAGATGCATTTATAGTACAGACGGAATGATGTTGTCAACCTGCACATGCATGCACGTGCGCGCGCGTGAAATGCGTTAAATGACCAATATATTTAATTGCCTTATTTAATGAAGCTTACAGGAAATAAGACACCAAAAGGGAGTTGGGGAGCGTTTGGGGAACATCTGTAACGGTCCCCGTTACAATTAATACTAGTTTTTTTTTGTTGTTGACAAAATTGTGTTCATGTTAATTACTTCTAGCTTATTTCTTTTGGTCACATTGTTATACATCCCACGTCTTCCGATCTATAAGAAAAATAATTTTATTCCCTATGAATTTCATTGCATCGACGTCCGTTAAGAGCTTTATGTGGTAAGCAAAATCAGAACTAATGTCTACATTGTGATGGTAAATTTGTTCGATTGGAAAATGTGTTTCTTAAAAAAATAAATAAATAAATAAAAATAAGGGAATCCCTTCTCTCTGTCGCCTTTCTTACAAATTTTCTATTATTAAGCTACAAGTCATGATACTTGACTAAAAGGTTGTTTTTTTAAGTACTACTTGACATATAACGGACGTGTGATATTGATCTTTTAAAGTGAAGCAAAATAAATGATAAATATTTTAAAAAATCAAAAAGAGACCAGGCAGAGTTGCAACCGCGATGTCTCCGATTAAGTGTTTATTCCTGGATTCCAATTTACATTTAGTACCATCTTGAAACAGGTATTAATTTTCCTTATTGGACCAGCTTAAAAAAATTGTTTGTTTGCCCTCTCCCGACCGACTAAAAAAGCTCCGACTCAAAACATTTTTAACCTGCAGGAAACGATGATTTTTCTGTCTTTTTATTCCTGAATTTTCTCATTCCGTCAATATGCATGTTAGAAAAGCCCCGACTCAAAACATTTTTTTTACCTGCAGGAAACGATGATTTTTCTGTCTTTTTATTCCTGAATTTTCTCATTCCGTCAATATGCATGTTGAAATTTTTTAAAAACTTACCCCCACCTACCTACCGGCCTAATTCCTTTACCTTGAGTCGGGAGAGGGCAAACATCAAACATTATTTTAAAAGATGGCCTTGTAATTATTGTTACATAAATTACTCATGCATCACATGCTGGTGTACTTTTTTCTTTCAGTTTTGATTTGTTATTCAAACCGTTTTTCCCCATTCACCAGTTTTCCCGGACTTCCCGTGTGATCTTTCTGAGAGCTTGGTAAAAGTGAAGAATACAATGCCAATTTCTGCTTTTTTTCAAAAATCGTTTTAGCAAGTCTTAGATTTGGAAAAAAAGAGTAAATGGTAACTTTAATTGTATGAATCACACTGTTTTCAATGTAATTCTTTCTGTTTTTTTTTTTTTTTTACAAGTTTTACATCTTTGGTAATACCCTGAACCTTGAATTGTATCCTAATAAATTAGATTTAATTAATTATAGACTTTTATTATCACATGCAATGACAAAAACAGTCAATATAATTTTCCCCATTTTATTTTTTTACATAAAAGCAGTCTCAAGAAGTGCAATAATAAACAGGAGTACAAAAAACAAAGCAAAGCAAATAAGAAAAAGCAATCATAACTTTAACTCTGTTACATGTAGTAATAGTACAATGTAATGAGCTATTGACTTCTCACATTACAGTAACCTGGTTGAAGGAAATTTTAAAATCTCACATTGAAAGGATTATTTTCCTAGTTAGGAATACTAAAAAACTATCAATTTTAATAATTTAGAAGAATCCCTGCTTTTTTAAGGTCCAATGTAAAAATTGATAGATTAACGGTGTGGTTGTTGTGATTTGAATTTTCTAAATGAGAGTAACACGTATGGTATATATAGCACTATACAAGTTGCTCTAAGTTTTGTGCATCGTTTACATACTTATCATCAAAATTTACAATTGGATATAACCTTGATTCTCTCTTTTAGTCAATGTCTATAACTTCCAGTCAATGTCTATAACTTCTAGTCAATGTCTATAACTTCAAATTTGTTCCGATTTAAACTTTGTTCAGGCTTATTTACATTTACTTAATAAATCACAACAATAGCTGAAGGACAGATGCTACAAACATTTTTTTCACCAAAATTTATGTAAAATAACAACTAAATCTATTTTATAAAAGTAAAATGAATACGTTTAGCCGCGTAAAGTTTCAATTTTCATCAAAAGTTTTTCAATAACGTCCTATATAGTATAATCGTTGATAAATTTATGAGTAGTGGCAAAAAGAAGAAATTTGAACATCATAAAATTCTATAATTTCCTCATATTTTCCAAGATTTGATGCATCATGTATAACCAAAATACGTCTAAACTATATACAAATCCAGGCATCCAATTTTTTGTTTATAGCATGTGTTCTTGATTTTAGGTATGTCACTCGTCAGTTTTTAAGAAAAGTTCAGTCAGAAACTCTAACTCAAAACTAATTATTACAATTCAATTTTTATAACATATCTGAATTAATCAATGCAAATTATACAACATTCAATTTAAAAACTGCACACAAAGTCATAAAGAAGCAAGATTTTTGGGGGACTATTTCTTGCGGTCGAAGGATATTTAGAAGAAAATACTTCAATATCTACACATTTGTTAAATTTAATCTCTTGGAACTTTATCCCCAAATATTTTTACTTGGAGATTATTTTCCGTTATAATATGCTATGAATATTAAATATAGGTTTCAATTTATACTTTAAGAACACATTTTACACATTCCTTCAACAAACTTTGGCAAGTAATGAAGATATATTTTTTTTAAAAAGTCAACTAGTTGTTATGTGGTAAATTTTGTATTTGCTGCCCACCGGTAAATTCAAAATTTACATGATAAAATGCCGAAGTTCAAAAAGCGTTATGCATATACATGTACATAAGAATAGTCTATTTAAAAATTTAAAAAAAGAAACTGTCGACCAGCAACCCAAAAACTATTTAAAAAGACATTTTTTAACCAAATCACAAACAAAACACATGTCATTTTGATTTCTTTAAAAAAATATGTTCGTATACGTGTATGCCTGCATACTAATTGTATATTTAAAAATGTATATACATTTAATAATTGAAGAGCCCTAACTGTAAACAAATAAATTTAATAAATTGGATATATAGATGTGATAGTTCATACATGTATGTTTTCTTGTAAATAATTGATACATGTACGAAGTAGATACAATTTTTATCAAATCCTAAAGGAAAAAAAAACAAATAAAGATGTAACTTAAATCCAGATGAATAAATTTCTACTAAATACAATAGAAATACTGCTTATCAATGAGTTCAGCTTGTTGTACAAAACCAAAATTAAATGAAAATAGCACTCATATAAAATGCAATCTTAGATATATCTCAAAACTTTTCTCTACGTTAGATTATTTTCTCTCCTCTGTCATGTTTTTACAGTACTTCTTACAATCTCCTGAAATGTGATGAAAAAACTTTGAACTTTTTAATTAGCTTCTTTCTCGCTCAGCATCAAACCTCTGCTTAGCAATAACTGCATTTGCCCAAAGCACTCTTGTATTCTCTTTATCATTCTGCTCTGCATTTGTATTTCTTTCTCTTTTCCCTCCAATAACCTTATTTTCTCTCTCTCCTTTTCTTCCAGCATTCTATCCTTATCTTTCAGCTTTCTATCCTTATCTTTCAGCATTCTATCCTTATCTTTCAGCATTCTATCCTTTTCCTCCAGCATTCTATCCTTATCTTTAATAATTTGATCTTTCTCATGCAGCTGGATATTTTTTCGTTGCAATTCTTCGTTTCCTTCCTCAATTTGCATATCTTTAATTGCTACTTCTTGTTCCAATTTGACTGAAAATAATATATAATTATATAAAGCATCACTTGTTTTAAATGACTTTTGTGCGTACGTATATTTACACTTCATTCCGTTCAAACATCAGTCCGGAATCAAACTCCAATGGAATATGATAGTTGAAACCAAAATGTCTAATGTAGCGCGTTTATTTATACATCCTTTTATACATGTATATACACATGTATAAAATTCTATTTTGCAATACTGAATACCTCTAGAGGCATTGTCAAAAATCATGGTAGCAGAACGAAATGCTTTGATCTGTAACTCATCAACATAGACAATAAGCTTATATACGCAAGCGTCTAGAAAAAAGTCAAGAAAATCAAGAGACAGACTTACTGACAGACAGACAGACAGGCAGGCGGAAAAAATACCTCCTCAGGTTTAACTTATGAAATTACATGGATATCAAGTCTACGAACAATCTGCCGCCCCTTTATAAGCAGATCTATTTTTATATTCATATGAAGCAGAATTTATTCAAAAACTTTTACATGAAAAGAGGAAGTCTCCTGCTGTGGTCATCAGTTCGACATTTAGATATATCGATGACGTTATTTATTCTTATTTGTATAAGATCTACTTTAAATATAATCAGTTGTTCCTTGCCAAAAAATTACTCAACTTATCCATGAATTTCTTTGAAATTTACATTTGAAAGCCTCGGTTTATACAGTCTCCTCCAAAGGAACTGTTCCACAATGCGATTCGAACCCGTGATGTGATGATCTACTCCTTACACTACGACTCTCGAGCAAACGTTCTAACCACTGCGTCACGCGGACAAAACCCTTATTTATGTAACAATATGCCAATATCACCTGCCTATAAAGTTCGTCTCCCAGTTCATTCAATACGCAAGAGCATGCTCTACATATTAACAATTTTTTAAAATGAGGCAAGCTATTGACAAATAAGTTGATGATACAAGAATATCAAGAGTCCCGTTTAAAATCAACAATTTGTAAATTCTATGGTTGATTCAGTGACCTTGTTAGCAAGTACAATCTATCGTTAAGTCGAAAGTTGACTGACGTTTTCATACAAATTGAATTGGTATGATTGATTGATTCATTTGATTGTATGTTGTTTTACCTCCAATTCGAGAATTTTTAACTCATAGAGAGACGTCACCATATACTGGTGAAGGGCTTCAAATTTTGACCTTTACTCGGCACTCAGATCAGGGCCATTGAGCAGTGAGGGATCTTTATCGTGCCAAAAAAATTCTAAAACAAGGCAAACTTTTGACAGAGAAGTTGATGTTACAATGGTAGCTACAATCTCGTTTGAAGTAAATATTTTGTAAATTCTATGGCCGATACAATGACCTTGTTTGCAAATACAGTCTCTCGTTAGGCCGAATGTTGACCGACGTCTTTCATGTAAATTGTTGGGCCATTATTTTCATACTAAACTGACTACCGATTTTTTCCCATTTATTCGAACATGACAAAGAGCACAGGACGGGTAAGACCGGTCGACAGGGGATGCTTACGACACCAGGGCATCTGATCTCACCTCTGATGTTTGTAGAGGTCCGTATTTGCGCTGCTCTCTATTTGCATTGTTTCAGTGGACTTTTGAGCAGAATTACTTTTCTTATTTTTATATTTCATTCAAGTGAATTAAACATATAGTAATTAATCATTTAGACACTACCAAGTCGTTTAGGCACAAGATTTGAATACATACATTTTAATAGAAATTGCAATTTGTAACTGATTAACGTGTTACTCGGTCGGAAAGATGGTTATCGGTTGGAAACTCTGTAATCGGTTAGTCTTATAAAAATTAAAATATGTATAAATTTGAATGCAATTTCCTTAAATTTCAATAAAAATCTCTAAAAGTTGAAAAGTTAGCATTTTTAACCTAAATGTTTAAGCTGATTTAGGGATATTAAAGGCTATCCGGGTTGAGATTGTGAATTAGTCAGTTTGTGAAGTGTTAATTTTTGTTTAACACCCTGTGTAGCCCGCGTGGCGCAGTGGTTAGAGCATTTGTTCTAGGGTCACATAGTAAGGAGTTGATCCTTACGTCACGAGTTCGAATCCCACTGTGGGACGTGGAGACCGGTCCTTCGAAAGAGACTGAATAAACCGAGGTCCCGTGTTGCAGTAGTTGTTGGCACGAATAAGATTCCTCACTGCTCAATAGCCCTGATTGCCGAATATAAGTCTAAATGTGCAGCCCTCCAGCGGCAAGTGATGGCGTCTTCGTATGAGTGAAAAATTCTCGAGAGGGACTTTAAACAGCAAACCCCTCCCCCCTCAAAAAATTAACACCATGTCGTTACCCAGCCTGAAGTGTATTTCTTTGATTAAATCACATCTGAGTCCTATGTACTGATTATAATGTGTATAGAACCCCGATTATCCTTTGCGATTATGTATTAAATTATATTTTAAAGAAAAAGTCCACTTTAATGGTTCTAGTTAAAGTTCATTAATTATGACTTTTTATCCGTTAAACGCGTGATATAAGCGAAATTGATCTTCTATTATTAGTATCTCATAAAAATATGCTACGATGAAGCTACTTATATCTTTAAATGTTTTTTTCCGTTATCATAGCATACAAAAAAGGAACACGGAAGAATTTAATTAAATAGGAATAAGGAAGGAAGTATTTACCTATATTACCTTTCAGAGTGTTGAACAAATCTTCGAATTCTTCTGGCGAGGGTCGATATCCTGTAAATTTACGAAGCAATGAATTAAAAAAACGATTGCCTTAAAGCTATCACTTATCTAAGCCATTCTTCCATTCTGTGACAAATCATTTCTTTAACTATACATGTATACATGTAGTATGATTATTTAACAAGGAAAGGCATATGGTCTGGGTAATATCCCACTTAGAATAGTCACTGTTTTTAAACGAGAAAAAAAACCCACCCACGCTTTAACTTGCAATGCAAAGATAAAAACCACACTATGCTTTCATTACTTTTAATTCCACAACATCTCGAAAAAGGTGAGAGATATTTATACGATATTCTGAGATCTAATTAAAAAAAACATGAAATATGTAATTTCAAAGTCTGATGGTAAAATCCACCTAAACATAGAACTGTATTGACCCAAATTTTATAGAACGGAGCATTCTGACCAGGCCTTTTGTGACTTAAAATTCATTTAAATGAGAAGAAAAACAAACCTTTAAATTCAAATATTTAAACATTTAAATCTGACCAATAGGTACCTGTATAAAATAAATAAAGAAAAATGTAATTTCTATCCCTACAAACAGCAATACTAAACATTTTCACCTTCTTTTAATAATAAAAACCTCGTTTAAAGTCAACATTTCGTAGATTCTATGTTCGTTATAATGATCCTATTAACAACTACAATCTTTCTTTGGGTCGTACATGTATTTTGACTGGCATTTTTCATACCAAATGTTAGGCCTTTGTTTTTAGACTAAATTTGACTACGGAATATTCCTTCTGTCTGATCCACACATAGGGCTCATGGCGGGTGTCACCTGTCGAAAGGGAATGCTTACTCATCCTAGGCACCTGATCCTACCTCTGGAATTTCCGGGGAATCATGATTTGTATTCTTTGTAGGTGTTTTGAGGTTGATCACTGTTCGTTATCTTCCCCCTTTTCAGATACATTAATTAGTAAACATGTATTGCCCATGATTACTCTGCAATTTAAACACTTTAGAAACAAAATAAATAAGTGAAATGGTAGAATCACCAATTACTGAACGTTTGAAAGGGATCTTTAGAATATGAACAGGATTTATAGCACACTGATAATTATGTAATTGGACCAATGGACGGTTGTTTAGACAATTTCTTTTATCAATGCATTGACAATATACGCATATACATATATGTAAGATCGCTTTTGAATACCGGAAGAAAAGGGCTTCTTATCTATAATGTGAAATTCTCCTGAATTATCAGGTTTATATACATAATTATCTGAGAATTCAATCCAAAATACCTCTTTTGTCCTCGCACTCCTTCACTATTCTGTCCAAGTTCTCTTGTGGGTGTCCATTCCTCTCAGACAAGATTTGTTGAAGCTCCTCCATCGAATAATCAACAGGAAGACCATTTGGGTTCAGCCGCCCTTTCTTTCTCATTATCTCAATATGTTGTATTGCACCAAACAGTTTCGTTGCTTTCCTGTGACTTTCTTCCCCTGTAGGTTTAACATGAATCAAAATTAAAACCTAGAGAATATAACTGAATGGCATTAGGAAATAGTTCTCTTTAGACGAAAAAATCTGTAAACTGTAATTGATGGAACAGCACTTTTTTTCAAATGTTTGAGATTTTTTTATTTTAAAATTATCACTTTCATATGACATACGCATGCAACCTTGAACCTTATTTTGATTTATTTGATAATTTATGAAAGATATATAAAATTGCTAATATCTGCACTATAAACAGTTGCAGATAAACATGTAAGGTTATGATATCTAATAATTTTTAAAGTAAATTTTTACTTGTACTTTAAATATAAGAAAGTTTTGTGAATATGATTACAAACCTTCCAAAATCCTGTAAATGTATTTGATAGCTGTCATCATATCTGATGCAGACAGAGGGGTTTTATACCATTCCATATACTTCCTTTGAACAATTCTCACATAGTCCTTGTCGATTTCCCTGGGGATAAAACCCCTCATCTCCTCCTGTACGCTTGACATTGTTATGAAACTTTTGGCTGAAAGGAAAACAAAAATACTTACAGTGTTGTCCCTAAGAATTGAAATAGGAGGAGACATTAAGAAAGTAGAAGGGGGTCTGAGATTCCTCCCCTAACAAGGGGTTGAAGGGGATACTAGACTAGTATACTAGACTAGACATTATAGGCGGGGAAATTCCTCGGTCCCCGGGACTTATTGACAACCCTGTACTTATATAACAGGTAATACAAAAGACTACATTGCTTGCAAAGATAAGTAATGGATATATGCCGAATACTGTTCTATATGTAAAATTATCAGACTGTTTGAGGCCCGTTAGGGCCGAAAACAGTCTGAAAATTTTACATATAGAATTATATGAGGCATATCTTACTTAAAACATTGCTAATAAATGTCCAAAAGTTACCTGGAGGAGTCCGATAATTACACAATAGGAGTTCAGGCATCAATAGTTTTCTACCTGAAACCATCTAATAAGTAGACAAAAGAAAAGAGAAAGTTTTTTTTTCTTTAGACAGTAAAATCAGTGAGTGAACTCTTTTGTTTCATTCATTTCATTCATTCAATGGCAATCGTTTGGCTCAGCAGGAACTATGGACAGTGGTCAGGTGATGAAGGATTTTTTTTATGATTCGGAATATTTTTTTTATTAAGTGCATTTGACATTGATACAGATACAGTGTTGGATGATATCTTCAAAATGCATTTAAAGTAAAAATGCGGATTTTTATCTAAAATTTTGATTGGATGATATAATGAAAATCTTGGGTTTTAAAAGTGCGGTCATTGACGAACAAACCTCGTTAAATGAAGAGATTCGCAGACTGGTTCTTTATCAGAAATGAATTTAAATTGGCTTATTCACAGTGCTGTATCGAAAATGCTTTGCAAAAAAACGAATGGAAAGTGTTACATTTGAGGAAGGTTAAAATAACCTCTTTAAAACAAACATACCGAGCACGCTAAATGTTGCTGGATCTATGCAAGTTCCTAATGATTTTCAAGAATTATAATTGATACATGATAGAAAGTTAAATAATATCTACTTACATGCAGTTCCAGATCTTGTCTACATCACATATACTACACAGGTCAAAATGCGGAAAAAATATAACACACAACTAGCGGAAGTTTGACGAAACCAGTTTAATTTTCATCGGATCTAAAAAAAAAAAAAAAGGCTTCCCGTTTATTTAAGTAGTTAAATTGTTTTATCATGCGAATATATATATATATATATATATATATATATATATATATATATATATATATATATATATATATATATATATATATATATATATATATATATATATACAAGATACAAGATTTTATTATTCCATTTTGGACCCCCGGATATGTTGTACATGTATATGTTATAACAATATATAGTCAAGTAACTGGAAAGATACATATACGCATAACAAAGAACAGAAGAGATGATATATTGCGATACATGTACATGTACATGTATACACATCCCCAAATATATTTAAATTTAAATTTTTCAGTTAAGGTAGATTATCAAGGAATCTAGCAAGTGATCTTAGGATTTCAGGGTCTTCATTAGTCATGAGCCAAAGAAATTGATTATAATATGATAGAGACTGAAAATTTTTACATTTATTATTACAAATATTTACGAGTTCAAGTCTTTGTACACTAAAATGAGGACATACAAGGAGAAAATGAACTTCATCCTGAATCTCCTTGTGATCACAAAGGGGACAAATTCGTTCATCTTTAGGTATTTTTTGATATCGTCCAATTTCAATTTTAAACCTGTGAGCTGATATTCGTAACCTTGTTATGACTGATCCATGTTGCTTGTTTGTTAAAATATCTAGATAGGGTTCAAAAACAAAATTTAGTCTTTAGGCAGGTGAAGGTAGATAATTTGTCATCTTTATGTACATTCCTGTCTTTTCCCATGTAATTTTATAGAAGTTAAGTAATATTCTTTTCAAGTTTGTTTTAAACTGTGGGAATGACATACCTAAAACATCACTAAGTTTAATATCAATATGGTTAAGTAAGAAGTTAATACAAGAATACCATGAAGTAACTCCATTTTGGTGTAGTGTTTTGGAACATTTAAAACCTCACTAAGTAAGGGAAAATCACCATCTAGATTCTCTAATCTATGCCAATATAACAACATATTTTTAATGACATCAAAGTGTACATTCCATCGTCCTAGCTCAGATCTTACAGCAAAGTTGCCGCTTTTACCATGAACCATTAGTAAATGTTTGTAAAATTTAAGATGCAAACTTTCGCCTTCTAAACTTTGGTATATTTTATCTAATGTTATATTTGGATTTCTTTTAAATTTGGAAGCTGATGGATAAAAAAAAACAAAACAACCCATAACTCTGAACCTTACAGGATAATGGGTTTAATAGTGTGGTCAAATACATTTAAAGCAGTTTTAACTGATGGATTAAATGTGAGAAAGTCATTTTGAAGTTTGAAATAGGTTTTTTTGGCTTTGTTACAACAATCATTTTTAGCGCTAGTTAGTGTTCCAGATGCATTAACTGTCAGACCCAAATACTTGTACTTTTTAACACATTTGATATTGTTGTTATTCAGATGGAGAGAATTTTGATGTGCTTGCCAGATGAATTGAAGACTATAATTTTTGTTTTCTGTGTATTAACTTTGAGACACCAGTCCTTGCAGTATGTATTTAGTATATTGAGTTTTTCTTGTATACCTTCAGCAGTGGGGGGAGAAAATTAAAATGTCATCAGCATACATGAGACAATGAATTGATGTAGATGAGCAAGCATTAAAGATTTTCAGTAAGACTGGTATAAGAAACATTTGACCAAGTTTAAGCATTTCATTACAGATCCTGTCGGGCCCGGCTGCCTTACCATTTTTGAAGTGGTTTATCCAGTCATTATTAGAGATTGATGTATCAATTGAGCCTCTGTCTCTATTTCTTAATTCCCATGTTTGTTTCCAATATATATATATATATATATATATATATATATATATATATATATATATATATATATATATATATATATATATATATATATATATATATATTTGGATCAGTAGAACCTAAAGTATTTAGCTTGTTAATAATATTACAATGGTATGTTCTAAATTTTTGTTTTCGTAGTTTGTTATAAATTCTATACGCTCTATAATACTGATTCTTAGCATAAATATTTCTAGGGTTGTGACCAAATAAAGTTCCCTTCCTTACTAATTTTGAACGCATATGTATCAACTCATTATCAAACCATTTATTTTTATGTTTAGCGGGGCCTTTATTAATTTTACATGTTTTATTTTTAGGTAAATTTGGTTTTAATGACATAATGGCCGCAGCTTCCCGGGAATCTTTTAATATCTATAGACTCTATGTCATTGATGCTCATGGAGTTATCAAAATTGCCTTTTATTTTTTGGGATTGTAATGCTTCTATAAATTCAATAGCAGTCTTGTCCCCACTTAAAGGATGAATGGGTTTTGTATTGATTATTATCTATACTATTTTTTTCTATTAGTAGAACCATATTGAGAAAAATATTCCATGACAACATACAGTAGCAGTCGGATAATGTGGAAATAAAATCTGATACTTCAAAAAACAAAATATGTTGTACAGTTTCTTCATCAGTTAAAAGATAATCAACAACACTAGTACCATGATAATTATGGCAAGTGAAATTTCCAAAGATGTCACAAAAACATCTTCATCAACATAATTCAAATTTAATTTCAAGTATTTGTTTTTATTACACTGTAAATAATTTACAAATCTTTTTAATATTCATAGGAAGTTCAAACTTTTCAATTGCCAGTAAAATAAAACATGTACAATATGCACTTTTTGTGTAACTATTGATGTCATAAAGATTATTTGGATCTTAAATTATAACAAAAATTAAATGCATGCATTAACAAACTGGACATTATGTACAATTTGCTCTTCTAAAAGTAGAATGCCTGTCTTCTATTCCTTTTGGTGAAATGGATTCGTCATGGTCAGCTCAAGCTAGATAAACAGTCATTAGATAGGGACTGTTTTTTTTTTTGTTTTTTTTTTTTTTATTTATCTATTTATTTATCGGTTGACATTTGAAACGTTTTTTGATTTTGCTTACCGTGAACTCATGAATTGGGTTATTACCCTTTTATTACATAGCGCAATTTGAAATGGTCTGAAGGTTTTGTGCGCTTTAAAGTTAAAGAAAAAAAAACTATATCCCTTATCTCTTCTCCAGGATCAATAAATGTAACAATCGTATACCGTATAACTTAGGTAGCTATTAAATGCATTCCTCAAGGGTGTATTCTGGTGATTCTGCTGAGTATCAGCCATTTTGTCGGAACTTCTCTGGTTTTATCCACCAAAATGTGCATGTAAAATATTTTTGTCCACTAACCACCAATTATCAATCACATTTTGATTCTTTGAAGTTTTGATAATCTTCTAAAATATTATGAAGAAAAGATTAATTCCAGATCAGTTTTTCAGAGAAAGATTTTTTTCATTCATTGTCCATGAAAAAAATCTAGGAAGTCTGGTTTTCTGCCATTTTTTCACTGCCTTGTATCTCAAAAATATGTTCACAAACTCATATTATTCTCTTTCGTGTTTATTTTTTCAAATAATGAATACATCGGATTAAAGTACCAAAACTTACATTTTTTAATTAATACTAGTTATCTCAGCAAAATATATCCTTAAGTATAAAAATACAGTCTCTAATAGCTGTCTAAATAGACTCAACAGAATTATAGCAGGAGGAGGTCGCTATATCCCCTAGAAGTGAGATAGAAATTCCCAGCCATATTCCTAGTCGTGACTCGCATTCCAAGACACTGGCGGATTTAGAGGAAGCCCGGGAGTGGGGGGGGGGGGCTTTTATGACAAAAAATATACATATTAAGATTAAAAAATCAAATATTTTTGTTATTAGATATTGCATTTATTATATATCCCCAGACCATTGGTAGTCTTGAAACTAGTTTACATAGGCTGTATCAAATTAGCAGTGCTACGTATCCTTTTTTTTAAAGTAGACACAATGAATTGCAGTCATCCAAACAACGCTTGATTATAATGTATTGATCTTCAAATTGGCCGACATTCATTTTTAGAGCCCCCTTTCTTTAATTGAATTAAAAGTATTTTTTCTTTAAAAGGTTTTCAATTTAGCATTACTTTAATAATAATAACGCAGGTAAAATGAATGAATTCCTTTTAAACCTTTTGTAATTGCAGTAATGACATCGACCTGACCAATGGAATTAAGTTGTCTAAATTTTAATACACCCGAATCTTTCCTCACGATTGAGACCACTGTTATTTTCACGCCGCTGTTAATGTAACCAAAACATAAATCGATCGCACGGGATTAATTGCAGATTTTGAGCGAACCCTCTGCTCAGCGGAAGAGTTTTAAAAAAGTTTCCGGTCATTGTTCAAATGCGGATAATTTACGTAAATTTCTTTTGGATAATTAACCAGTAAAGATGTTAATTTTGGATTACTAGCGGATTATTTAGAAATGGATGACACATTAAGTGTCGGTGATACGGTGTGTTTGTACTCGGCGGAAAGTTTTGGTTTCATATTCTCCACTCAGTCCAGGTGAGATTAAAACAACCTTTAGTTTTCTGTAATTATACTTTTTTTACTTTCAGATAAATTATCCACATTAATAACAAGAAAACGGACTTTTTTTGTTTGCTTACGATATGATACGGAAAAAAGTTGTATGATATAAGTAACATGTAAAGCTTTCTATTTCTACAAGAGAACTTTGGTGTGTACAATTTGTACCGTTCGACCAATTCCTTATAAAGATTATCAAAACATCTCTGGCTTATGTCCTTCAATGCCGCGATGTCTTCTTGTTCTGGCATTTAACTTTACACAATCTTCTCCTGTGTTTACTGTTGAATGTTTGAATTAGAGGTTATGAAGAAATTCCAGTTAACATTTAAGAGCGTTTTAAATCTTCCTCTACACACTCTTTCCATACACAATAACTTTCTTAACGTACAGTCACTTGCTTTAAAGTATGCAAAGTCTGTATATCTTGGGTTCGTATAAATGTGTAACCTTTTCAAACTTTGAGAATTTAACCTATTCCATTTACAAAGCAAATAGATATAATACACTGTTTGCCTGATAGGAATAATCATGTTTGTGTTCTCTTTGGGAGAAAAAAAACCCTTCTGAAATAATTTCAGAAAATTTATTTTATAAATATAAAATTTTCATGTATGAGTTTTTATTCTTAAATTAGGATAAATGTTAATAAATATCTTAAACTGCAATCATTTTTGGAGCAGATGAACCAGTTTTTTTTAAATATATGATATTATACCAGTATTGTGTGAGAACGCTTAATCCCAATTTCAAGTAAGACAAGTCACAGTAAACTTATAAATGATTGCCAGAAACATTACCCGTTTAAGTTTATTTAATCCCTCCAGTTTTAATCTCATTCTGAAAACGTACGTCATGTAACAATTTCTTTTATTCTAAACACCATATAATTTTCAATGCTGTAAAATAAACAGTTTATCATAATCGTACCCAGCTGATTTTTGTATATATCTTTTAAAATACCTCTGAACACTCGGAAATCCCCCTCCCCTTCCAGTATGTTGGGCGTCATACACGCGACTGGGATTGGCTGTGCAGATGCAGTCCAAATCTTAAAAAACAAACCAAAATCGGGGGGTGGGTGGGTGCTTTTTTGGTACGCATACACTCTTACATGGAGATTACTTTCTATACTGACATATTGTTTGAACTACACTTTGGTTACAGGAAGTGGGATTGATGAGCCCCCAAGAATCAGTCCTAAATAATCTGTTTTTATTAACCTCAAGTATACGCCAACTCTCCCCGGCACATGATTGGCATTCAAATATTAAACTGTCCTCTGCCACTTCCAAGAATACATCAATTTCCAGAAGTACGTAATTCAGTCTGATTCTTTTTATCTCAGAATTCAGTTCATTGCAGTACTAAATATTTACTTCTAGTAGTTGGTGAAAAAAAATAGGAAAATTAACGTTTAGAATAAATAATCATTTTTTTTTTATGAAAAAAAAGGCGTTTTGTATACCGTCAAAACCTTAATAAAGTTTAAAAAGATCGTATATTTTCCTCAATATTCAACTTTTGAGACTTATGCGATACCCTGAAGGTAACTATTGACGTGTTTGTTGAGCTATCAAAACTTCTAAGGTATCAGAATGCTTTTTGTTGGATATTTTAAATAATATCTAGCGATTTTAAATGGACCTTTTATTCATGTTTATGTAAAAGAATAAAAAAGAACCTAAATGTACTGGTTTATTTGGTAATTGAATGACCTTGAATTAAACTCATTTAAAGAGCATTTAATTGGATCGCCAAAGCTATTTTTTCGTTTTTTATGAAGAAAAAAATGAGTAAATGAAGGCAATGTTAAATGAAATACAACTTGAAAATTATCATTCAGTAATATTTAATGTCACCCATTTTGTAACTCTTCAGATTAAACCGCGGAACTCAATAAAATTTTGAAAGATAAGTGTTTGGAAATCAAATATATTTTAAGTCCACTTGTTAGTTTTCTTATTTTAAACGCCCCAAGTTCAAGAAATTCAATTGAAGGATTTGCTGAAGCAAGCTTCTATCTTCAGCACAGAATTTTGATAGATTAGAAAAATTCAAGTTTAGCCTTTTCTGACAGAGGGGTTATTTAAATACATGTATATAATCTTAAAAGTAATTGACTCATATTTTCGTTTTATTTTTCCTGTAGCTCAGTACACAATGAAGTTGCCGTAGGCTCACGACAAGACAGGCATCGACCCGACGTACAGGATCAACAGGGTAGGTGTACACACACACACACAGAGAGAGAGAGAGAGAGAGAGAGAGAGAGAGAGAGCCGAACCATATACACAAGATCAAACGCGATATTATCATTTCGCATAATTAGTCTAAGTAAATAAAAGAATAGCTATAAAGAACTTAGTTAAAAAGAATGCTAGCTTATCCTAGATTATAAGAAAGTGAAAATTATGTATTCATACATCTTAATTATTCAGTTGTTCAAGTCTGCTCTTGAGGAATGATTTTTTTAACGTTGACGAGTCAAAGTTTTCCTATAGTCTTTCCTTTAATTCCCTAACATAAATATGTATGACAGAGTTTAAATATCATATTTGAAACAGAGTAATGAAGAAAATAAATTACTGTATGTTACTCTGAAAAAACATGTTTGGACACTAAATTGCATTATAAACTGTTAAAAACCATTTCCCCCTGGCCCAAGATTTACTGCAAAATATTATACATGACCAAGTCGAATTTGTAATGAAGATGTCATGAAATTGAAGCGCTAAATGAGGGTGAAGAACGTATGGACGAAACCTGAATTCGTTTAAAAAAAACATTGGAAGCAAATTTACTCCAATTATTGAAATAAATGAACGTTGGAAGATGTAGAAAAGAACCAAGAATGTCTCAATTTTTTCCCTCACAGAATAATGCAAAAATTAACGATTTACACCTACTACTTTGTCATTCTTCAAAACTGGTTTTGATCGCAGGGATGTCAGAATTCTCTCTATTTCCGAATTGCTCAATTTTCTTTATTTTTAGGCAGTTTTATATATTAGGTGCATATCCCTGTGGGAAATATAGACAAAAGCTCATCTACCATTAAAGAACTTCGGTAAATAAGGTTTAATAAGCGCTGTCACTTCGTTGAAAAGTTACTATTTTTTTTCAAAGTTTTAATGTACAACTTTTTTATCCAAAGCAGTGCATGTAATAGTGAAAAATAAAACCATTTTTACTGAAAAATTGTCGCCTTAGTTATTTGGTAAAAAAAAGAATGAAAAATTCCTCAGAAACTTACAGGATGTAACCAGAAACTTACAGGATGTAACCAAACGATAAAAAATCTAGCAATTTATTTAGACACTTCAGCCACTTAACATGCGATTCATACTTGTAACAAGGTCGCTTCAAGTCTTGTTTTTGACGTGCATGACTCGCGAATAGCCACTTAATATCAAGAGTGACATGACTGCTTTTATTGAAATACATACATTGAAGTACTTTTGATGAATAGTGAGTATTCCCTCCACTTAATCCATGTTTTTGATATACTTTTTATGTATACTACAGCTGTATCAGATGTAATTGCATATAAAAATTCAAAACTAACCTGCGCTCTTTTTTCTATAATATAAACGTATCTAACATTTTATGAAAATATATCAAAATTGTTTTTTGAAAATCTCAAAAGTTTTCTCATTCAAAACCTTGTAGTTATCTTTGTGTATTCTGTGAATGAAAATCAAGTTTGAACCACTACACTTCTAAATTTTACGAGCTAATTTTCTTATTTTATGTCAGATAAATTTGTCTTGTTCGTATCATAAGGTTGTTTAAACTGGGAAAAAGACGTCTTTCGCCAATTATTACCAAATTAAAGAAACAAATTTAAGCAAATAAAATGGTTGTTTTCTGGGAGATCTTCTTATAAAGAGTAAAGACTCGACCTTATGGTTCATCCCTGCAAGAGTTTTCTGCCTTCACAATATTTGCTAAGATACGCACTGCCTCATTATTATCTATTTATATCTTTTGTTTTTCAGTGATTTCATTCAATCTGGAGGTTGCTAATCGCTACAAACTCAACAAGCAACTAAGAAAGTTACAGGCAAAATTAGCAGAAGATCCAGAAAATATATCCCTCAGAAACACAGTCTCCAGGGCAAAGGTATAATACATGTATATCTACATCAAATAATTTTCTAATTTGTTTTTACAACATTATTGTCAAATCGGCATACAGAAAAGGGAAAAACGAAAAAGCTAGAATTAGTTTTGCAAAATAAACGAAGTACAGATGTGAATAACATACAGTTGAGGAAATATGATAGTTTTTTTTTTTTTTTCATTTTTCTGGGACTCTCGTAAGCGTCATGAACTAGGATCAACTCTAATTTTGAGACCAGCATTACCATAAATGTCTGTTTTTAAGATTCTTTTGAGTGTTAGAAAAACAGAGTTGTTAAGAGAGAAGAAGGAGTCATCATGCCTTGTTCTTTGCAGATAGATATTTGTTGTCATAACAAAAACTCAATTTTTCAAATTTTCATGATACGAGATTTCAAAATAAAATGTATATCTTTCGACCAAAAATGTTCATCTAGGCATTCAACAGTTAAACGTGTAATACTATTGAAAACAATCTGCAATAGAACATCTGCTTATTTGCCATTTGATTTCAAGTTGAGAAATGTTTCAAAGGGAACAATTTTAATAATGAGTCTGACAGCTATGAAATAAAAATAGGTTAAGTTCGTGTTTTATGCCCTGTTTCCAGATTTGTGTGGTTTGAAGATTTTTTTTTTAGATCACTGTTCGTTATCTTCACCTTTTTCATTAAGGTTAATAAAAGATTGTTGTTTCAAAACCACAGCCTTTTTAATTCTGTGACAAAAATATGTGTGAAAAACTGCGATTAGGAAACTTCCATTAATAAAAATAAGGATATGAAGCTTATAGAACAAACTGTCCTATCAGTTGTTTTCTATTTTCATCATCAGGAATAAAGTGTATATTGCTTATAACGGGGCGCAGTTAGTACTCACGGAGATTCCAGCAATTTTTTGAGAGACCTGGTCCTCAAAGATTACATAGATATTATCAATAGGAAACTCAAGCATTTTTTTGATAACAGCCTTTGAGTTCTTGTTTGTAGAATCAGAATACACATATATCTTTAACAAAAAAAAAGTTTGCAGATGACCAATGACAACTTATGCAAATTACGAATTCCATTTTTATTGAAAAAACAGTTGTCTATGATAACAAAATGCTGGTCTTTAATTTATAAGGAGGAATAGTTGTTTGTTTGTGCTTTACGTCCCTCTCGAGAATTTTTCACTCATATGGGGACGCCACCACTTGCCGGTGGAGGACTGCAAATTTATACCTGTACTCGGCACTGAGGGTCATTGAGCAGTGAGGGATCTTTTTCGTGCCAACACCTACTGCGACACGGGACCTCGGTTTATACGGTCTCATCCGAAGGACCGGCCTCCACGTCCGACAGTGTATTCAAACCGTAAAGATCAGATCCTTACTCCGCGACTCTAGAGCAGACGCTCTAACCACTGTGCCACGCGGGCGACGAGAATTTTGAAAAGTCGTATGATGTTATTCATTTTGTTAACAAAAAATTCTGAACGTTTCTTATAGTTTTTACTGTTAAGTATCAAATGGTGAACACCACTTATCCAGTACTGAGTATTTTGATGCACAGTACCCCTGAAACTTCTTCGCTGCTAGCTGTTAAATTTTGAGGAGTAATGAAAGAGGCTTGTTAAAATATTCATTAGAATCCGCTTTACTTCTTAGTATGAAAACTAAAAAAATGTATAAACGTCTGCCCTCTGTAAAAAATATTTCTTGACATGCTACGAATTTTATGCTTTTTATTCAGTGGTTTCACTTTAAAAGTTAATGCGTATGGTTGGTTATCCAGATACAATATTGCATTAAAGTTAAATGGCAAATTTCCATCAAAGCAAGATCAACCGTAATCCCTAGATATCATTATATAGAGTATTGAGGTCATCACGTGAGATATGCATATTTTGAGTTTAAATTAAATGCTTTAAGCCATTAAGTATGACCCAAGGTCATGTTATCAAACGCATGTTAATACCGGGCAGTGTATTGTGACCAAATGCAGTCTGTAGTTGATTACGGTAAAAATCAAAGTAACCGATTTAAATCGAATGTTTGAATTCAGAACAAATCTTTGTCTACAGTAGTGTCTGTACACGCGAACTGAAATACTGTTTAAAAATAAAAATTATCAATTTTCTTTCATGTTCTTTCGGAAACACAGAAAATGCTTATTTTTATTATTTATTATTTTAAGAATACGTAATTCAGGAAGGATTTTTTTCATTCAAATTTAATTTTTTGAGTTGACAAAGAATGAATGTCTGATTTTCTTTCAAAAAAATATTTTATCAGAAAAAGGGATCATGTGTGCAAATAATGTAAAGGTTTTTAAAAAAATGGCGTGTACTTTCAAATTGCATACTTCCATTTGCAATAAAGTGTTGCAATTTATTTGAAGGTTAATTCATTATATTCTTAACGATTCTTATAATGCATATCAATTTAAATTAAGTTTTTTTCATATACAATGTATGTAGATAATTATTGCGCATGCCATACATTTATAAGAAGATAAAAAACATGTACCCAATCGATGTTGTAAAATTTTGATATAAAAACTTGACAAAATAAAACATCCTTTATATTCATTCAGATGTATTTCTTTAAAAGATATAAATTAAATACAACTTACATTTTACCTAAAAACTTTTATTGTTTTTTCTCTGCTTTGTTGAAAATATATTTGTTTTCAAGATGTTTACACAGCCTTCTCTCCTTCCTCAAATAGTTTGTTTATTGATGTCATCTGCACAATTGTAGTTCGTGGATTGAAATTAAAGAAACAACTAAATGATTTTTGAGGAGACTCACTGGTCCAAAATTATCTCACAGATTTACCTAAAAATGTGAAATAGGATTTTACATCCATACATTATTAATTAGTAAATGAAAACAACATATATGATAAAAATATATCATATGTAAAGCGTTTTCCTATATTTTTATGCAGTGCTGTCCTTTTCAGGAGCTTTGAATAGTAAAAATTGGCCATGATCATCCAGTCCTCTTAAAGCAAAGTGTTTAATGCTATTTCTTAAGCAGATGTATAATTCTTTGTATTATTTTTAAATAAGTTTTTTTTATTTACTGTTGATGTTGTGTATTATCAAAGGAATGTATTTTCCCTTTATGTGTTGAATATATTTTCCCCTCAAAGTAAAAAGTAAACAATGTAATGGAATTTTTCAAAGCTCGCTGCTGAGGCTGAAAATGACGACAACATTTTGGAACAAAAGAGACAACAAGGAAAGAAGGTTCTTTATGGCCAGATCATACAGGTAAATAATCAGAAAACTAGAAGTTATGCTATACACAATTAAGAGTTTTTCATTATGCTGCACTTACGTATTGAAAGCATGAATAGAGAGTCAATGAAATTTATGGGTAAATTAGTCTGCACATCAGGTAAATTTTGAACAAAAAAAAACTTATATGCATTTTTAACAAATATATTTATATTTGTATTTTGTAATGTTATGTAAATACAATGAGTTCTAATTAATCACTTAAAACGACGTTCTTTTTCAGCTACGGCATCTCTTTACAAATAAATACATCCATGTCAGTACAACAAAAACATCGGACACAGAAACAAACAACATGGCGGTATGTCTTATTACATGTAAATAAAGATACAGATTCAAAGTTTCAATCAAAGGAGAATATCATTATCTATGATAATAAAATTGGCTCCAAACAGGAACTTCGTTTTGGTGGAAAGTTGAAAATGAATGCCGTATTTAACGTCATCACGAATTATTATGACGCATTCCAATTGAAATATTTTTTTTATCATAGGTGGAACTGAAGGAAGAGAATTCCAAGCATGCGCTGTTCCGTTTAATGCCGAGATATAAAGTCAAAGCAGAAGGAGATGTGGTAAGGGGTTTTTTAAGACATAATATTCATATGCTTATCTGCATTTTTTTCATACAAGAAAAGTATAGATTACAAATTAAAATTAGGACATTGCCATTGAGATTGAGAAATAGTTAAGTTATTTCAAACGGCACTGTATGATTTCCATCCCTGTGCTCTAGACAAATAATATTGCAAATATGCATGTCCTTCATTCTGTTCTTCTGTCATTCCGGAATACAACAGATATACAAACTTCTTTTGATTTGATATATATGCGTACGAATATTGAGCTAAATGCTCGTTTGGATGATTTAAATATCGCTTGGAGTTTCCAACGAAGTTGAACTTCATTATATTATCTAACTTAGTATTTAGTATGATCCAGAATTCTTAAAGTTCGACAAAATTTGCAATTTAGGGAGTATTTGCCGCTAAATGCATAAAACTTAATTTGTTGTGAAGTTATCTGATAATGAGTTACATTTCGAAGAACAAAGACCATTTAGATGGAATAGAATGTTAAACATTCGACCACTATTTTTCTCGTATCAAAATTAATGGAGTTCACAATATTGTCTCAAGTATACTTTTTTAAATTGCCATATCAATATGAGTTTTCCTATTGTGTGATATGATTGTGTCATATTCTTTAGGTCCAAGTTGATGATCAAGTTGTTCTGGAGAGTGTGAAGTCTCCAGACTCGTACCTACACGTCAGCAAATCCTTCCTCGGTCAGTTGTCCGTCTATAGCAAAAGGTAAAAGTACCATCTTCCTCTATGAATTGTTTAGTTCAGAAACATTTAACCTCGAGGTATTGGTTTAGGGCTCTGTTTATTTTATTCTCACACAAGACAGATACTTCAAATTTAGTCAAGAAATGAAAACAAAGTGCTGAGGCTGGCAAGATCGAGTTCGAAAGTTTTTAAAAGCAGCATAAATGTAAAAGTTAAAGTATAATTTGTTTTACGTTTTTATCACGCCGCCATTATTTGTTCAAATTCCCTCCCATCGATAAATTCATGCAAACCATCGACTTTTGTCTATATCTCAAAAGTAGAACACACGGTAAAGCACTGTTATTATGTATAAATGTATATGCTTTACAATTTACTTCATAAACTGCAATCTTTTTCAATCATGGACACTTTAAATGATGAATATTGTTTGGCATTCACCAGAATTTGATATACACGAGAAAAATATCAATATTGATCGAGGTTTTGCTTCGGTCAAATTTTTTATTTTTTCTGGTGAATAACAAATCATATTCACCATCAAAGGGTCCATAATGGTATATTATTGTATTCATAATACTGCTTGAGATTGATTTATCAATATAGTCATTTTGTCTTTCAAATTCCATACTTGTTTTAATGAATATTATCACAGATAAAATAGCCTGTTGACCATACGCATTGTACGAAAAATACATAATAATGAAGCCATAAATAAATAACAGACGCCTATAAGCAAAATAAAAAAAAATAACAATAAATATTATTTGATGTAGAATTAAAGGAAGTAAAATTGGTTGCTAGTTAGTGATCGTAATATCTGTTTTATACTGTTAATCTCTTTAAATATCATTTCAGTCATGAACTAAATGTTTCGGTTCAGCAGTCTGGCTTCACGATCTGCCGGAAGTATAAACCTTCATCAGGGGACAGCACTAAAATAAAATTTGGGGATCTGATTCGCTTCTACCACAAGGAAATGGAGGCCTATTTAGTGGCATCGGGGCTGTTTGATGATGAACTTTTAGAAGATGGTAATCAATGAAACAAACACGTAGAGACACCATCATAAAAGGAAAACCGATTATCCATGATATACAATAAGACTTTGGTTTTCCAACTGAATTAATTTCTCTTCCTTTAATTATGACACCCGATTATACAATTTTAATAAACTCCATCCAAATTTAAACAAAAATCTATCAAATAATAGAACCTTGTAACTTGTATTTTTCTTGAAGATAAATGTTCCACTTACGTACAACCTTGTCGATCGTTATTAAAGCTCATTTCTGAACAGATTTCATCCACACTCTAGTTCGGCTGAAGTAACACTTTCTACTTCATTAATTAGTTCACATGAGGCTAAGACCAATGGATCAGACAATTCCTAAAACCTTATTCCCAAGCTCCTCCGCAATCACATATTGGCAGATAGAACGACAGGAGGGACCTGTTTCTGGTAGGTTACATAAGAGAAACCCTTAAAACACTCGAATGTAGCATGAACTTATTCCAGTATTTATAATATAAGTAAAATCTCTCTCTTTTCAATGAAAAGGTAAAGAATTAGGTTCTATGATATACATGTAAATATGTAAATATAAACATATAACGGTTATTATATTTGTAGGAGGCGTTTTGAAATGGGAACAGCAGTGTAAAATCATTCATATGTGCACAAGAAAATACTTGACAGTCAAGGACGGTCATGTGACCTTAACCAGTGACCATCTAGATCCCACTACTGTGTTCAGGCTACATCCTGTCATAAGGGTACGATGTAGAATTGACTACATGAATGTTTGTGGTTGTTAAGAAGAATTTTTGGAGAGATGGAAAAGTGAAAGGGATGGGCCTTGAAATCTCAATTAATCTGTCGAAGTCATTAATAAAACAGATAAATAGAATTAATTTTAATTAAACCTGAAATAGTGCAAAAATTTTTCGAGACAATAACTTACGTTTAGATTCCTTGTCTTCACCTTTTTTCTTTCCTTAATTATTTCAGAATTAACACAATTTGAACTTAATAGTGTATTTTTATAAGCTTGATAACGTAAACATTGGATCCCTCCTCTTGATAAGGAGACGTGTATTATTCGTTTTGCTAATTTATTCTGGGCTTTTAATGTAATAGAAATTCTTTTTTTGCCTGTCTTACGCAAATGTTCCAGTCTTAAAGGAAATTTTTGAGACCATATATATCCCCTGTTTTATTGTTATACAGGAAAATGACGACATACCCCCAGACAGTTATTGTCGAATCGAACACGTGGTAACAGGACGCTGGCTTCACGGAGGAACAGGTGAGATAAAGAAAGCTATAGCTGGCAAAAGATAGTAAAGGCTATTATAAGTAATGTGCCAGTTGTCTTATCATGCTTTGTACAAAACTTTTTTATTAACTGTTTTAAATCAAACCAATAAAGAAACACTATATAGAAAGGTATTTGATTTTTTAATATTGTCAAAGACTTAAAGAGTACAAAGAATATATTCATGAATTTGATTTTTTATAATTTATCAAATTATGATCCGTCCTGCATTTAAGCACATATGAAAATAAATGATAGCAAAGACAATTATTAACCATAGATATTTAAAAAAAACAAACAAATATAGCTTAACTTTAAGTCTATAAAACAAGCCTACTGATTAATACAGTTTACCGATCAGACATGAAAGTATGACCGATTAAATTGTCTGTTATGAAATAAAAATACATTAACGTTACATGAAACAGAAGAATACAAGAAAAAGCAGAAAGATGGAGATGATAACACACAATCTATGTCATCATTAAAGTGGAGCACAGCGGAACTGAAAGAGGTATGACAATTGATAGTATTAAAAACGAGCATGATTTTTTTTTCTGTGTGCGATTTCATTATGAGGACGTTCATAAGACCTTTATTTCAAATGTAAGTATTTATCAATACAAATTCATGTCAATTAACAATGCCATCCAATGTTTGATTTGGTTAAATATATTTAAAAAATGGATTAACTACTTTCTCTAGAATTATAACCATCTTCAGATCACTTTGTTTCACATATGTAACATTTAAAAGAAAAAGCTTGAAAATTGTTTTTTATGTTATTTCATTTGTGGAAAAACTTTAACAAGAACCAACTTTTGATTATACAAGTTTTTCCCCAAAGATGCAGTGCCATTGATTCACATTTTTTTCATCTGCCTGCTTAGATTAATACGATAGAAGAGATGCAATATGATGACGCCTTCACCATACAGAAAGTGGATGAGGAATTTGTCAGCATCTTCAACTACATGGCTGGAATGGTCCCATTTATACAGAAACTTATAGTTGATGTGAATAATATATACAATAGCAAATACTGAATATATATTTTCATATACAAAAATACCAAAAGAAGAATTCTAAATTTTATTCTATTAAACTACTTGAAACAAATTCACATAGACATGTGTTTTAAATTATTATCAATTTTGTTGAAATACACTTATAATACATGTACACTTAAAATCTACATTTTTTGGAGTAGACATGTTTTTAATTAAGCTATGATTAACTCTTGTTCTAAAATCTACTTTTCTCTCACTTTATCAAATTACATGAAATTTGATATATTTTGTTGATTGACAGTCTTTTATGATGCCTTTTGATTCATTTTCAGAAAAAGGCAGGACTAAAACTAAACGCAAAGATGGCCCATGATGCTGAATGTGTTAGTAAATCTATTTTCATCAGAGCTATTCAGTGGAAACCTGCATATACACAATTTTCACTTCATAAACATGTTTTTTAGGCGTTACAAGAATTAAGTGCCTTTATGGTAGTCAACGGGTATCCAATCAAGAGGAGACAAAAGTTACTGAGAAACCTAAGAGTGAGTGTGTTTTTATGATCTTACTTGTTTTTTTTTTTAAATTCAAACATTTCTTTTAAAAATACATTATTAAGAAATTATGTCATAACTTCTCTCTTGATATTAGAAATATTCGTCTAGTACTAGTATATCAAATGAAATTTGGTCGTGTGACTAATTACATCTATCCATTTTAATAAAAAATTCACAAGATTATTTCAAACGTGTTTAATTCAAGGAAACTTTAGCGAAGCTAAATATAATATTCATTGACATCTTTTATCCTATTTATTTCAATTCAAATCATAGTCCAAAAAACAATGTTTAGATCAGATAAGATGTATTTGATGAGTTTTATTTATTGATTTACTTTCTAGATTGTAGAACTGCTTGTGAGACTCTTGCAAATACCATTTAGGGGCTCAGCTGATCAAATGTAAGTTTTTTTTTTTCGTGCACAAGAGTCAGAAAGTTTTCAGTTTACTCATTCATTTAATCCTCTGATCATATTTAAGCTACATTGAAAATTGTACAACATGACTGGGTTAAAGCAAGTCATTACTTGAAAAATCCATCAGAAGTCTATTACTTTCCATTTCAGAGTTTCTGAAATGATAGATATCTATCTCCCTATGTTTATAACTTTAATATTTATTACCGACATTCTTTTATTCTAGTCACATGACAAAGCTGTTCGTTGAGTCGTATCGTGTAATGTATGTGTATCTTATGGGAGACAGCAGAAAGAACGAACTTTACATCGCCAAATACATCGACTTCTTCCAGTCGCAGTTTGAACTCAGAGAGGTATGTAAATGTCAATGATTTTTTTTATGCTACGTGAATTGTTCCTTCAGCTACGTGCATTAATCTATCTGCTTAGTATGAAACTTTTAAAATATATCAGGAAGTTTAAGTTGGTAAATATATACATATATGAACATGATCGTTGGATCTTTTCAGGGTCAAATTGGTTTGAACGCTGTGCACATGGTCATGGAACTTATCCGTGACAACAGAAAAATTGTTGATAGAATTTCTAAGGATCACATCGACAAATTTGTTGACCTCTTACAAAGAGACAAGGTTGGTTGTGTTCGATTTTAGAGACTTGTTATCAGCAGTGGATTCCAAAATCTTTCAAAAACATCATGCATCTCTGTATATCTCTAGATGTAGATTTTTTTTTCTAAAACTTACAATGTAGATTAAAATGTGAATGAAAATTGTTTTGCGTTAAATGTATGCGATTTATCAGCCAATAAGAAATCATTTATATGTGTTTGTTTTCCCAGAATCACAGATATTTAGACTTGCTTGGTGTACTTTGTGTATGTGACGGCGTGTCTATTGCTGTCAATCAAAAGTACATTACTGAGGCGTGGCTAATGAGAGGCAGCAAGGTATGTTAAAATTGTTTGAAAAGAGGGTGATTGTTTCTAAATATTTTGTTCCTCTATAAACTTCAGAAGGTAGAAGCAATTGGTGAAGTGTAGAAATAAGCAATATGAAAATTTGATGGAAAATTTAGAATTTTCCCGGTTTCGTTAGGTTTTTTTCTAGACATTCATTAGTTATAAAAAAGGTTAAATTTAAATATAATTAAAATTGTGAAATTAAGGTTTGATAATCTCTGCAAAACTGAGTGCCAGTGAAAATCCCGTCATGTTGATTGGATTTGCATATTGTGTTTCTCTCTGTCTTACACAAACGGCGTCTATTTGCAAAAGACAAATTGTCCACTATTTCTTATATTTCATCATTGATATTAAAGTACCCTCTTTTCTTGACAGAATTGTGTTTATTACACCGACCTTGGACAAAAGATAGGAAAAGAGAATGGCGTGGTTTATGTTTCCACAACACAAGGAAGAACGTGGACTGAGTTGTCTAACTTTGCTGACAGTAACTCCAGCGAATCCTACCTTTTCCTGGAGCATCAACTAGAACTGTTTGGATATCTTTGTCACGTACATATGAATTTCTTCTCCAAAACCACAGTTTCTTTTTTAAAACAGTAACAATTTCTTTTACGTCATTTAAATATAAATTGATTATTCTGCTTTAAAATCTTTTTGGGGGCGGTCATTCTTTGGACATCATAAAAATATTCGTAAAAATTAAAAAAAATGGTTTCAAAGCAAAAGGACTATAAAAGGCTTACTGTTTTTTTTAATACATGGTAATTCTATTTATGTACTTACTAAAATTTAAAGCTGAATTTTACCTTACCTATTAAGGGTCAGAATGAATTTTCAATCAAAGTCATAACCCAAGAGTTGAACTATCTGACCTGGGAGGAGGCGTTTACATGTTTGAGTGACACACGTCTTCCAGACAAACTTAGATCGCAGTACTGTGACCTTATCATTAGTAAGTGGAAGCTATTATATTAAGGCTCTTTCTTGATGCAGGCACAGTTAAGCGAATAAACCCTTCATCATATCCAACAAGAATTAATGAAAAAAGTTATTACTATATTTTTTTCATTGTTAACTAGTTTTTTTTTGGTCAAAAATTTACTTTATTAAGTCACCTGAGTCACTCAGGTGACCTATTGCTATCTCTTTTCGTCCGTCGTCGTGCGTCGTCCGTCGTTCGTCGGTCGTAAACTTTTGAACATTTTCAGCTTCTTCTCTGGAACCAGAAAACCAATTTCAACCAATTTTGGCATAGAGCATCTATGAGTTAAGGGGAACAAAAATTGTGAAATTCGTGGCCCCTGCCCCCCTGGGGCCTGAGGGGTGGGGCCAAAACCATCAAAATTAATGCAATCTTTAAAAATCTTCTTCTTTACTCCTGGACATCAAGCAGTCAAACTGTTGGCATGATTGTAATAAGCATTGAGCCCTCTACCAAAATTGTGAAATTCATGGCCCAGGGTCAGGGGTTCTGGTGGTAGGGCGGGGCTATATAGATCATGTTGTGAAAGTGCATTATTTCTTTGAAAATCTTCTTCTCTACTCCTGGGTATTATTGAAACAAAATGAATACCTAGTTATGATAACAAGGGTGACTCTACCAAAATTTTGAAATTCATGATCCCAGGGTCAGGGGTTCTGGTGCTAGGGCGGGGCTATATAGATCATATAGTGAAAGTGCATTATTTCTTTGAAAATCTTCTTCTCTACAACTGGGTATTATTGAAACAAATTAAATACATAGTTATGATAAGCAAGGGTGACTTTACCAAAATTGTGAAATTCATGACCTCATGGTAAGGGGTTCTGGTGGTAGGGCGGGGCTATATAGATCATATAGTGAAAGTGCATTATTTCTTTGAAAATCTTCTTCTCTACAACTGGGTATTATTGAAACAAATTAAATACATAGTTATGATAAGCAAGGGTGACTTTACCAAAATTGTGAAATTCATGACCTCATGGTAAGGGGTTCTGGTGGTAGGGCGGGGCTATATAGATCATATAGTGAAAGTGCATTATTTCTTTGAAAATCTTCTTCTCTACTCCTGGTTATTATATAAACAAATACATGATTATGATAAGCAAGGGTGACTCTACCAAAATTGTGAATTTCATGACCCCTGGAACAGAGGTTCTGATGTTAGGGCGGGGCTCTATTTATTATATAGTGAAAATGCTTTAAAAATCTTCTCTGCACCTGGGCATATCAAAGGCAAGAAGAGTAAAAGTTTCAATAAGGAAGGGTATTTTTACCAGATTTTTGAACATGATCAGGACCATTTGGTCAAGTGTTCTGGTCCAGGCCAGAGCTCTATTAATTTGTATTCTACTGAGATTAGTTATTCCCCTTTGCCATTTATGCGTGATAACTAATCACTGTAAATAATGTACTTGAAAGGTTAATAGAATAAGAGAATTATTGAAGAATTTTTATTGTATAATACAAAAAGTACTTTCATAGTTTTAATGATCAGGTAGACTTGTAAGTAATAGATAAATAAAAATGAGACAAAAATAACTTGTCTTATTAAATGTTCATCAAAGACCAAGAGAGGCCAATGTAACAATGCAACAATGTCAACAAGGAATTAAAAGAGTACAGAAGCACTGATAGTTTGTTTTTATACTGTCTGGTGAGAGTGATAAATGGGGAACAGATTAGAACCTAATTTATGAACTGTTAATGAATACTAGATTATTACTATTAGATTACTACTGCTAGATTACTACTATTATTTTGTTGATCCTGATCACCCTATTTTTCTTGCTTTTGGGCAACAAAGCTTCACCTTTCAGTTCGTTTCATATTCTATGGATACCCTAAATTGTTGTATTATACTCAGGTGATCGTTAAGGCCCTTGGGCCTCTTGTTCAATTCATAGTCATTCATTTCATTTTATTGATATTTTAAAACATTTCAGCTATGTTTGTGGATATTGGCGATAATCATTCTGTAGTGGATCGAGTCAAACTGTCCTACATATATGATGACATCGACTCAGTTGAGGTACAAATTAATCAAAATATATTCATAATATGTTCTGAAATGTTCTTTTTTTTTAAACATTTTAGAAATGGCAAGGGAAATTTTATATTTTATGATTGGTTTACTTCAGAACTATTCTAAAGATATAACGGTAAATAATCAAGATCCTATATTTAGTTTATGTAGATTTTAACAACATCATCAAAAAAATCTTTTAAAATTTGTTCTCTGTAGAGTAGCAGATTGATAAGAAATACGGTACCAGAACACTGACTTTATTCTACGAGTTTTTCTTTTTATTATGTTAATATTGCACAAAATTTACTTTCTTTATAACTTGAATCTGGTTTGAGTGAATATACTTACCTCACAATTACTCTTTTACCTTGTATCTCTTCACATTCAATTTCACTTTAATAAACCTGTTTATAATTATTATAATTAAATCTGATGATAGCCATTTAATTAAAGTTAAAGGTTAAGATAAATGTCTTTTTCTTATAATTTAAAAAGAACTATCTAACATAGTTTTTTTGTCTTTACATATCTAAAGAAAAGCACGTTTCCCCTCAATATTTCTTTATCAGGATCGAGTTGACAATACACAGTCTAAGACGTACAAATATTTTCCTATGCTAAGCGAGTGGATTTCCAACTTCCTGACTAGTAATGGCGATATGACGGCATCGACCATTGGCAACAATTTGCTTGTCAAACAGGTTAGGGTTTCCAAGAGAACCATAATAGAAAATGAAAAGAAAATAACAGATCATGGAGGATTGAAATAAAAATGAATTGTCCTTCATTTTTACCATATTTACAGCATTCTTATGCAAAAAGTAGGCTTAAAAAGCTAGAGCTTTAGATAAAAATGTCTCAATAATTTTACACGATAATAATGACAAATAGTCCAGAAACATTTGTTTTGCAACTGGTATTGAATTCATATTAGGTTCTAAGATTGGTTGACCACTTAGTATCATTTGGGTTCTACTACAAACCGGAGGATATCAAAAAGTTGCTGGAGCCACTCATGTCCCTGATTGACGGCAGAAACGACAAACCGTATCCGAATGTCACGGGTAATACTACCCTTTATTCAAATCACTTTAAAATTTATTTAATTATCTTTTTTCGTGGGAAACTTTTTTATTACATTTATGTAAGAGAACGGAAAAAAAAATATTGTGAATTCTACTAAAAATGATATTTACATTTTATCAATATACTAAATAAATTCTTAAAAATTTATTACTAAAATATAAAATTTGATTATTATATCAATACAAACTTTTAATTAACGTCTATCATAAACCACGGCAGGAAAAGACGCAGACGACGTTCTGAAAGCCTTTAGAACAAAAGAAAGATTTGAAAGAAGTGAAGAAACCTCAGCTATTGTGGAAGCCAAGTGCCAGTAAGCCATGGTTCTTAATTATTAGTTGTTTATTATTGTTTTTACCGTCAAGTTTTTTGCTAGAAAGAAAAAAGTCCTTATATTGAATTCAACGATGTGAAAATTTCCTCTCTATTTCAAAAGAAAATATTCCATCCATATATCTTTCCTAATTTAGAATATTTAGCGCCCTACTTCATAAGTTTTGAAAATCCTTTTTTCATTTTTTACTATTTACATCTTTCTTTACATTATTTTCTATTTTGTAGGGCTTTAGACACACTCGATTTGTTCTTCAACTACATTTTCAACCTTCGAATGGAGGTCTGTACTTTTTTTCCTTGATTCAGAATTTTTTTTTTACATGAAAATTACATCTTCAGTTTTTCTTTTTCATTTGAAGATGCAGATATTTATAGTTTTCTTCTGATAAGACTACTGCATCAATGTATGATTTAAGAGATTACTGTATTACAGAAATATATCCCACTGCAAAACCACTTCAATGATTTTGTTTATCTTTAACTAATGAATGATTTCAGAGATTTATGAGTATGTTCAAAGTTACACACACGCAAGCGAATAATCCGAGCAGCTCACCACCTGAACTGGGTCCCCTTCTATCCGAAAATTTCGACTTACATTCTCAGCACAGGTAAGCGAATAATGCAAGTACAATTACTCATGACTTCTTTGAATTGATTGCATAATGACAGTTATGTTGTTTAGGAAAATTTCAGAGATTCGACCAATTTATGTAAACAAACAATATATTATCACAAAAGGTGTATTGTAGATCAATGTTACATTGTTCATCTAAACAACAAATAAAGTTAAATGATATTGTAAGAAAACTTGTTACCCCTGTCATTGCTGGTTTTGCCAATTTTTCTATCAGAACAATTTCCCCATTAGTTGTCAAAATTTAAATGTCTAGTTTCGGCCAAGAAAACATATTCTTTTAGGTACTTCACTGATGAACTTTATTTTCTTTTGAGTTTTGAGGAGGTCTGAGTTATGTAGTTCTTTTAAATATAATCATGTCCAACCTATTCAGTGTTTGCAAGTCCGCCCTGAAAAAGTTGAGAGATATATTTGAGCAGACATCCTTTCTGAAGAATTATGAAGTGGTAGACATCCTTAAGGTAGGCCTTTAAGCTGCACCAAAATGTTAAAAACAACATGTATTTATAACACTGGAGAGAGAGAGAGAGAGAGAGAGAAGGGGGGAGAACAATTTTGCATTGGTACTTGAATCAATTGACTTTTGGTCCACAGACTTAAAATATAGGAAACGACGATTATTAAATATTGATCTTAATATTCAATAAATAATGATGAATTAAAAAAATGTGTATCGGGAACAGAAAATAAACTTAAAGAGATTACCTAGTATCATAAATCTTTTTTATCTTGAAAGGAAATGCAAGTGTGTTTTTTCCCGAAAATATTAATTTGCAATTATAATTATCGCGGTCTTTTACTGTTAATCTTCGAAATAACATACCAACTAAAAAGCAAATTTCAATTGTTGAAGTACATACCTGCTATGAAATGCTTTTTTAGGACCTGTCCTTCTACCACTATGACGAAATGATCAGGATGTCCATGCATCTCTTAAACAGATACTTCTCATCTCACCACCAGCTTTTCACAAATACTGTTCAAGCTCAGGTATTTTAATAAATTTAAATCCAAATTTCCTAACATTTTAGATATATGCTGTGTTTTGTATTATTTGTATACACATATGCAGTTTCCTTTTCAATCGACGTCAATATGCAAACTTATGATAAAGACACAATTTCATATTCAAACATGCTTTGAATTTGCGAAACCAATTTTCCCTTACAGAATAAATTTTAGATACACTTAAAGTATTTTGTGTCCACCATGTTTGTTCATGAGGAAAATACATGTTAATATGTTTATGTCTACAAGAAATGGGTACAACTTGTCATGAAATATTTTGCAAAGGCATTGTGAGTAACTATGTTCCCTTTTTCAATGTCAGGTACTCATAACTGACAAATCTGAGGCTGTGATGGAAACCTTGGAGACCTTACTCCCTAGCCTAAGGCGACTGTCGTCTGCTAAACTAGACAACCAGCAGGCAGAAGAGCTCGTCGCCATGTTAGACAAACTCATATCGTAAGCATTCATATTGAAAATTAGTAAAATATGGATATGACTGTATTTGTATCATGCAAATTACTAGTATGTGCAACTTTGCTTTATAATAGGAAGTCATCAGTCACAAATCATATCAAAAAACTTTTTCTCCAGGGTAGGGGGGGGGAAGGAATATTGCAAAACAATGAGGAAATGTTTTTTTTTAAAATGCAAGTTTCCAAATTAATTTACATTTTTCAAAATTTAATGCAATCACACTATCAATAAAATGTTTCAAAACGTACTTACTTTGTTTTTAATGCTTTTTAAGACTGTGCCATTTAGAAAAGGAACCAGAGGAAGCACATGGAATGAACCAGAGCATCTTATATAATCACGGTAATTGTTCAGGATACTGTTCATAATAGCTTCCTGCATATTTATTCAATGTCTGTGATATAATGCTTTCAAATGTGTTCAAAACACACCTTATTTTTAAATCTCAGTCCGGGTGATTTGACCCTATCATATTATGCATAACGTTAAAGAAAAATATACATAAAACCAGACAAAATTGCATCTAATGTTATTATAAAATTTATTAATAATTGCAGGTTTAATTGAAGATATGTTCATCATTCTTCAGCAGGACATTGACGTTCGCCTTCTGGTTTGAATCTTTAATATTTTTCATCCTTTATACACATTTCATTACATTTCGTAGATTGAATTTCATACGAACATTTACAGTGTTTGAGACTTTTTTCAATGGAGTTCAAATAGCACACAAATGAATGATGAAATTTGAAATTTAATAAAATAATTTGCATACAATGGATATCTTCTTATCATTTACAAAATAATATTCAATCCTTCTAACTGCACATGAAATACAAGTAAAATTTTGACAACAAAGTTTGACAAAAATTATTTATTCTTTGCTGATAATTTAATAATAGGATCAGTACACAGGGCAGAAAAAGGTTCTTCAGCGGGCATTTACATTGTTGAAATTGATGGCTAGAGACAACAAACTCGTTCAAGGTCGTCTGTTTGACCGACTAGACATGCTTCTGTCGAAACGAGGCGCAGAGGCAGAATTGGCAGAATGCATCACAGAGGTAATGGATTTTACAGCAATGATATGAATATTCTTTTTCTTAGAAGAAACTTTCCATTTACTTAACATATTGTAGTTAAATAGAAAAATACAATGTAAACGGTTGACATGTTACTTTAAATTATACAACATAAATTTGCATATCAGTAGAATGTAAAATGATCAATGAATGATGACAATATTATGTTTTTACAATACATTGTATCTATATTATTTCTAAAGAAGAAACTTACACAAACTTTTGAAGGTTTTCACTGGAAATTCCAACACGTGTATGAAGATCCACTCCTATCAGGTTCACAAGATTATGACACTAGTATCAATCCATAAAGAAGATGTTCCACAGTTTCTTGATTTGCTGAATGCCATTGTGAAAGTGGAAGAACTTGATCTTCCATTAAAAAGAAACCAAAGTTTTGTTATGCAGTATTTCATGCAATACAGATCCGATATTGCGCAAGTGATTGATCAAGATGAAGGGGCAAGGTAAATAAATGAATATGTAACCTCTTAAATTTTAGATACATGCACTGGGTTTTTTTTTAATGCAAATATTTTTGGGTTTACTGTAAAACTTGTCTGATCCTGATGTTGTGTATTTCGAAATCTTGTTTACTTCGATATAAGCTTTAAGTCCCTGACAACATTTCCAATTGATTAAAATGTTGTCTAATTCGACCAATTTCTATGGAGCCAGTGGTGTCCGGAGTAGAAAAGTTTTACTGTTTTCCTTTACTGTTTCTTTTTTGCCAGGTAAGCTTCAAACGTTTATTAGTTTTTTTTCTTTTGTTTAAGACTGCAAGTTTTAACGAATACAGGACGCCCAGAACTACAGTACTTGATTTCTATGGTGGATGTCTTAGCTACATGTGCCGAGGTAAGGCTGCACAACAAGAAAATTTACAAAAAGGAATGATCAGTTAATTTCACAAACCAGCAATCCATTTTAAGGCATCACATTTTCTGGAACTGGTTTAAGTGTCATATCGCTTATTTTACAAAATATAAACCATGGTGTCTTATCCCCTGCAACTCAATTTATTCAAAGTTTGCAATTTGACACCATTGTTAGCATGATCAGAGAATATATATATATATATATGTAAATCGATAAAAAAGTCATTACAAGGTCATTTCAATATTAAGAAGGAAGGATTCAAGTTTCATATTTTTCATTTACATATCTTAATGCAGCCTCTTTTACTTCACTTGAATTTTTATAAACTTTTTTTCCGCCAACAGGGTGAAAACAGGCACATCGAATCAATTTGTCAGACAATCTTCAGTATCAGAGATCTTCTAAAAATACTGACAAATCAGATTATTAGTAACAACTTCAAACTTCCATTTCTCCGCTTTCTTCTCTGGGTTTACCTGAACACTGCAGGTGGGATGATAGAGAGTGGAGCTGGTGACATGCCCCATGATAGGTAAGCAGCTACATAATGATACATGCCCCACGATAGACAAGCAGCTACATAATGACACATGCCCCTACATAGGTAATTAAAATCATAATGATACATGACTCACAATAGGTAAGCGGAACCACAATGATAAAGGCCCCACATTGGATATTACCGCCATAATGATACATTAAAGGGAAAGGAAGTGTAGAAGAATACATTTAAAATATTGTTGTGGTATCATTTCTTTATTCCTGAAAATAAACTGTTTATATCAATTAATGAAACCATAGAACTAGTAAAGAAGGAATTGCTTTGAAAGTTATAATACTAAATTCACTCGGTTAAAAACACCTACCTGTTCCAAAAAACATGTCTTATTGCGTTGAGTGATGATCAATATTTACCCTCTCAATTTTGAGAATATCCCTTGCATATGTACTTAAGTCAGTGCATTATACTAAAGAAACACTAGGCAAAAATGTAGTAGCTGCAAAAAAAGTATCTGCAAACATTCGTACATAAATTCAAAGATACAGAAATCTATGCCCATAATCTAAGATTTTGCTATAATCAGAACGGAAAAAAAAAAACATGACAATACGAGGATTGTCCCAGAAAAAATCGAACTTTTTAAATATTTCATAAATTACCTGACCAAAATTATTCATATTTGGCATAGTATTGGGAAATGATATTTTTGTCATTTTGGCTAAATAATATAAGGTTCCAATGCCATGTGCATTAATGAACAACATTTAAGGGGTGTTAAATAGCGGTGGTCGGCGAACGGCAATTTCTTCTTTTCAAAAATAGCATTGACCGAAATGTTTTCTTTATTACCAGGCTATACAGAAATATAATGTGACAAAAATCTTATCCCTAGAAACTTTATTATCTAGAGTGCTCGTGTGTCAAAAAAAATCAATACTCTGACATCATAAATAACAAAATTATGACGTTATATACACAAACACTATTAATTAGATGAAATTTATAGTTCGTGTGTTCTAGAATGCATGAACTGATTTTGATTGTTGAATGATTTTCCTCTTCCTTCAGCTTAATGTGGCAGTACCTTTCTGAGATAACAACGGATCTAGACAGTGTAACAAAGTATGCGAAAGATAACACAGAAAACACCAAAATGCTTCTAAAAGCACCACCACCAAAAAGGTAATCACTCAATTGCAAAATAACTTTATTTTTTGACAACCTCTTAGAAGTTTAGTTCAACAGTTCTGATAACGGAAAAAATAGTGACTTGTACATTCAAAACTATATACAGTATAGTAAGAGCCTGATCTGAAATTTATGTAAGCACCTAATTGATAAAGTACTTATCTATCACATTTTATATTCTGCAATGCTTAAAGGATATCATATACAATGTAAGTGGTATTATTTATTTACATATTATGTGAAATTAATGATGTGTTTTAAATTATCGATTATGTTCAATGGAGAATAAACTTACCAAAAACTAAACAAAACAAAACAAAAGCAAAAAGAATTTATAAAGCATGCGTTTTGCTAAGGTTTGAAATGTTCACTAAATATAACTGTTATTTAAAAGTAAACTTTCGTTCATACATTTCAGAGAGAATTTGCAACTACATGTACAAGTTTTCGCAATTTATAGATAGTAGTTCTATGTTTTTGTACTTTTTAACTGTTCAAAATTCTCATAAGAATACGAAAATTTCTAATTTCAATAATAATAAAAAAAACCCAATGTATTTTAAGATTGAAGTATAGTACATATACCTATAAAAATCGAAAATGCAAAATTTTACTACTGCACATTAATATTAGAATGATATTGTTCCCATACTTAAAAGTTTTAATATCAAAAAATATTTTCAAAATGATTTTTTGTTACCTTATAATTTTACTATGTATACTATCTTTATGTATTCTCTTTGACAGTAACACCACAGGGAGTAAGGAAGAAGAGACACAGGGAACGCTTCACTATATATTTGATGGAATCATGCCATTTCTTCAGGTAAATCATTCCTCCAGATAAAATTACTTATAGGGAATCTACCATTTATTAGGGAAACAATTCATCTACCTTTGTGAAAGTCTGAATAATGATTTATATGCAATAGTACTGGTCGACATCATGGGATTTCAGGGGTTTAAATAGGGTTTACCTCAGACGTAAAGGAAACTATCATTTGAGATGGAATTTACAGGATATTGTTAAGGACTTAAAATATACAAAATGGGAAAGGTACGGAAGACTGAAGCATTTAATTATGTGTCTCTATTATCCAATTTTTAAATATTTTTGAATATTTTTAATATTCCAAACAACCAAAATGAATTCGAATTACCATATTTATATTGGATTCCGAAACTTCATAAAAATCCTTACAAACAAAGATACATAGCGGGTTCCAGTAAATGTTCAACCAAGCCTCTATCTTTACTCCTCACTAAGATATTAACAGTGGTGAAGGAGAAACTTCAAGAGTACTGTGCAACAATATATTCGAGAAGTGGTGTAAATCAGATGTGGATACTTAAAAATTCCAAGGAACTTTTGGAAAATTTGAAATCACAAGATTTTACCAAAATCAACAGCTTAAAAACTTACGACTTTTCAACTTTATACACAACCATTCCCCACGATAAATTAAAGTCTAGGCTTTTTGATATCATTGATAGCTGCTTTTTCAATAAAAATGGAACTCATAAATATACTTACCTTGTCATTGGTCATTTGCAAAATTATTTTGTTAAAAAACATTCTGATTGTACACACAAGTACTCTGAAGTTGACATTAAAAAGATGCTTGAGTTTCTGATTGACAATATCTATGTGGTTTTTGGAGACCAGGTCTTCCAACAATCTATTGGAATTGCTATGGGTACCAATTGCGCCCCGTTATTAGCAGACCTTTTTTTTGTATTCATATGAAGCAGAATTTGTCCAAAATCTTGCACGTGAAAAGAAGAAAACACTTGCTGTGGCCTTCAACTCGACATTTAGATATATCGACGACGTATTGTCAATTAACAATGGCTATTTTCATTCTTATGTCGATACAATATATCCTAGTGAACTTGAGATAAAAGATACCACAGAGTCTGACATATCTGTTTCATATTTGGATATTTTACTTGAAAAAGACGTTAATGGTAATCTAACAACCAAGCTTTATGATAAACGTGATGACTTTAACTTTTCAATCGTCAACTTCCCTCACTTATGCAGCAATATACCTTCATCACCTGCATACGGGGTATATATCTCTCAGTTGATTCTATACGCAAGAGCATGCTCTACGTATGTACAATTTCTAAAACGAGGTAAATTATTGACAAATAAGTTGATGAAACAAGAATATCAGCTGTCTCGTTTAAAATCATCATTTCGTAAGTTCTATGGTCGATACAATGACCTTGTCAGCAAATACAATTTATCATTGAGTCAAATGCTGACTGACATTTTTCATACTAATTGTTAGGCCATTATTTACACACTGAATTGTCGACGGATTTTTCCGTTATTTCCTGATCATGACAAGGAGCACACGGCGGGTGTGACCGGTCGGCAGGGGATGCTCACTCTCCATGGCACCTGATCCCACCTCTGATGTTTGGAGGTCCGTGTTTGCTCTGCTCCTATTTTGTATTGTATAATGGACTTTTGAGCTTGAATATTGTTCGTTACCTCCATATATTTCATACATGTATTTCCCTCATTGATTTTTTAGATTTTCTGTCGCTCATTTTATCAGCCTGATTCGTCATTGTTTCCTGATGAGCCAGAAAAAATGGATAAACTTGCAAATTCATTTAAGGTAGAGCATAATGACAATATCACAATTTAAAAGATTACAAAACTACTCTCTCTCTCTCTCTCTGTATATATATATATATATATATATATATATATATATATATATATATATATAATATATATATATATATATATATATATATATATATATATATATATATATATATATATATTCAAACAGAGTTTTAAGGATGATGCAGATCTTTACCTTTAGATTTTGCTCTTTTCTTTTTTGAATCATACTTTCAAAATAAAACACACACACATACACACATGGTTAAACCAGAAGAAGATAATCATGTTCAATTTTGCCTGATTTTAAAATGATTTGCAGGAATTCATGGAGGTAGTTGCTCCGTTGATATGCGTAGAGAGACAGATGAAGAACTTGGTTTCCTGTATGACGTCACTATTGTCAGCGTCTACTCTTCCTGTCAAAGTAATAAATCGGCTAAAAAAATTAAAATACTACGCATATAAATATAATGTTTTTCTTAAAAGTTTTATGCAATTGAAAGACAGTAAAGTATCCGACTAACAGACGTTCAATATTTTGATAAGCATTACCTTTTTTATATACTGTAAAAGTGGTTATTTACGCGTGGGGGAAATTTACACTACTTACGCGGTAAGCTTAGAACCGCGTAAAATACCCCCGCGTATGGTCACAAAATTTCTAAGTTCTGGAATAATTCTAGACTTTTTCTAATACTGATATACCGGTCGAACCTGTCATGTATTAAACGTGGTATTGAACGCACGCGAGTAGATAAATACATCACAAACAGTGATGAAAATGTTTCTGTTTTTTTTTTTAATTAAATTGTGCAATGAAAATGCATTTTCGTATTAAATATCTTAAAGCAACGTCACGCAAGTAGAGCTTCAAAACGTAATTCTCATTTTCATTTCCTTTGTATGATTGTAGGAGTACGTCCCTCTTAATTTCAAATAATTAGTTCAAAATGTTACACAAATTCACAATCACTATTCAAACATATCTATTGAATTAACTATTCAAACATACCTATTGAATTAATTGTCAACACCCGCCACCCAGATACAGGTAAGTAGATCCCACTTTGAAGTTGGAGCTTGCGTAAATAATTACAATGAAGCGTACACCGGTTGTTCACACTTCACCGCTTTTGACTGTGCAGATCGCCGTTATATTTAGCAATCCAAGGAACATGCACATATCGATGACCAGTATAAATTCTTTTTGTTTTGTTTTATTTGTTTAATTTCTAATTTATTTTTTCTTATTCATTAGTATAAACTTCTTGACCTTTTCAAAGGGGGACAACTCGATATTAGTAAACGATGACCGCGTAAATTTTTCTCGGTAACTCGTGCGACCGCGTATATTACACCCACGCGTAATGTTTGACAGTCACAAACGCGTACTTAACAACCAGTGTAAATAACCACTTTTACAGTATATACAGTTGTATTCCTAAATCGATACTAGGAAAAATCAAACAACAACCTTATAGAGAATTTTTCCTTTATTTTAGATCATGGAAGAATTCAATGAGAAATATGGACAAACAATGGGTTCACATGATATTCGGAGTGATGCAAGAAAGGTATCACAACACGTATACAACACGTATTCATTTAGCAAAACATACCTTTTTTTCATTTGAAGCAATTTTTATTGGAATCCAATGTCACATAAAACTTTGCATTTATGCAATGGTCTTAGATTATGAATCTAAATAAATGTTAAAGACCCTCTCAACTAAATACATGCTTCATACATGTATATCAAAACCAAAGAGTTTCCTTGATAAATTGTAATTTAAAACAATTTTGTTTTTTTTACTTTAGAATTTATATTAAGAAATATAAAAATGACGACTATTCTCTCCCTAATATTTTACCAGTCTTATGAATCTTACTACGAAATGGAAGAAGAGATTAATAGACAGCTAAATGTGTTTTCGGTAAACATGAGGATTGCTTATGGAGGTCCAAATACAATAGAGGCTCAGATTGACTACCATTCAAATGCAGGTCAGTATAGAATTCACTTTTTTAATTAGATAATTTCGACATTGTCAGTTTACTATGTAGTATATGGATGAAATCGACACCTATGACCAATTAAATGTACTGAAGAAGAATGCTTTTCGACTAAATATAATACTGCTACATTTATTATTTACTTTGTACATGAGAAATTTTAAAAATAGAATTTATAGAAAACACTTTCTCTTCTACAGTTTATTCTGAGGTTGGCGGAGATGAGGAGTTACCATTGGGTCAAGAGTTTCAGGATCATCTCAAATGTTTCATGGATCCTAGCAATAAAGATCCGATCCAACGATATCGGATGAGCGAAAAACTCATCAGGCAGTTAAAGTACGATTTTCTACATATCGAGCGAAGTATATATTAATTTTATGACATAGAAATAAAAGAATTAAACCTTACAAGAAATATGCCAAAACATTATTTGTATGATATATATTGCGAATAAGATCTCTTATCTTTATTTATGAAAAACAAATTACCAATATAATGCTTCTAGCATTTTTCCCGTATAAATTAATGAAGTTCCGCTGTTTAAAAATCATGAGAATAATTTCATTTGATAAATTACGAGTACTTTATGATTAACCTTTTCATTTTAGTGTCAGAACGTTAATCCTGGTACTTAAAAGTAAATAGTCATGTTTACAAATACAAGACTTTTTAATCAACAGAATATCAAATCAGTTAACACATCTAAGCGAAAAAGAGAAGTTGGAACAAGAACAGCTCGATGTTAAATGTTTGCAGCTTCTGCGAGCCATGATTTATAATGAAGTGGTCAAGCTTCCAGATGACTGGGAGGCTGAAGTATCCGCCCATCGAAAGTGAGTCTTACTGGAAGGTTTATAAAATTGTAATTTTTGATATTTTGTAAAAGGAGAGAAAGTAGATATGGTGGGAGAGAGATGAATTATAAGCTTAGTAATGTTCATATTTGTTTTCAAGTGTGTGTTGAAACTAGTGTTTATTGACTTGTACACAATACATAACTCTTAAACATTTTAAACACTTAATAGGTTCTAAAAGACTCAAAACAAAAAACTCGTATTTCATGAGATCAGAAGAGAATAAGAGAAATGTTTGAGTGATTGATAAAAAATGCATTAAAAATATATCTTTTAAGTAAACGTATTTACTTTTTTTTTCTTTTTCTTTTGAATGTGATTAAAGGACTAAAGAGTGCAGAGCTCAAAAGTTATAAAATTTTATTTTACAAAAATGAATTGCTTGTTGCAATTTATTTTAAGAGTTGATCCTTTTTTAAGTTGCAATGCAAATGACTTTAATGTAATGAAACAAATGAACATATTATTTTTGATACGTCTTTGTTTTTGTTTTGCAGAAAACTGAAGGCTATTTCTGACGTCCAAGATGCTCTGAATCATTTCGATGTTGTTATCAGCGTCATGGAACACCTGAATCGTCCCCAGGATAATGTGGTCCGGGAAACACTGTCTTTTATATGCATGCTGCTCTATAATGGAAACGAAAATGTGCAGGTAGAAATTATATAAATTTTGAAAAATGATGAAATAAATAAATAATAATAATAATAGATCGGTTGCTGTTTTAAAGAGAGACACCAATCATCTGAAGAGAAATACATATATATATATTTAATGTCAATTTTTGTAACTGAGAAAAAAAAGTAAAAGTAAAAAAATTTCTTATTAAGAACAGATTAAAAAAAACGTTATACACATTTTATTTAATCAAATTTTTATCATTATAGACTAAACTTTATGAGTATTTCACGGGTACAAGAGAGGAGTCGTTTTTCTTTACCTTAAAAGCTCGTATGCAGATGTCTGCCATTGCAACACGAGAGAAGTAATTTTTATTTTTGTTAGTTTTAAATAATAAGTCTTTTATTTCATTTATTGAATAATTAAACCTAGACAATGTATAGACATCTTGGGTATGACCAACATTTTATTGTGACAGGCGACTATTACATGCGATGTACCAGTCTAAGGTTGACGAAGCCGTCCAACAGGCTAAAGCATTACAGAAAGCAATGGCGTCCGGCAAAATGGCACAATTGGTGATTTTTATGATCAAACTTTCTTTAGCTCTGATTTTATAACCTTCATTTCAGAAAGAAAATGTATAAAAATTAGTCTTTCGTAACAATGAAAAACGTGAAGATAGCAAATTTTAATGAATCTCATAAATCCTTTCATCATTATAACGTAAATAGTTATGATAAGGTGATAAACCCTAAAATGAAAAATATTTTGATATTTCAGGAAATATTGAAGGCCAATAGAATAGGGTCAATGATGTCCATGGCAAAACGATCCATGGCACAACTCCGTCCAGGAAGTAATTTGGTAGGATTTTTATGAGTCATTTCAATGATAAAATAACAGTATTACTACCTTTTCTTCTTTTTCTTTCGTTATATATTAATATGAATCGTCTGAGAGCTGCAAGCTTCTAAAAATGCTGTAAATGGCATTATTATTTATTTCCACAGCCTGCTTTACCTGGGTCTCCAAGACCAGCATCGCGATTTGGCTCCAAAGCGAAACTTGGAGGAGGTTTTAGTCGAGAGAACACAATGATGGGCAATCATTTTCTACAGCCTCCTACCCTTACTGTTAATGGCGTCCAGAAATCCACACTTCAAATGAATGGCAGTGCAAATGGTTTTTCCAACCCCAAATCGAAGGTTGCACCAATGGAAAATCCTCCAGAAATTCAGATCGAGGTATGAGTTAAAGTTAGCATTTTATAAAATTAACTAATACTTAAGTGTTAATACGTATTTACGATTTTTAACAGTTTCTTATACTAGACCTTTCAGAAAGAATAAAGGAAGAATGCATTAAGGAATTAGTCAAAAATGACTTTTTCATGTTGCCTGGAAGATGGAAATATATTTGAGTGTTCTATAAGCACAGGAGAATATGTAAATTTATATGAAGAATACATATAAATACACGCACGCAAATAAGGTATAGCATATATATATATATATATATATATATATATATATATATATATATATATAAAATATGTTGTAATATGTTGTAAATTGTAGAAAGTAGATGAAGAAGAATTAAAAGAGCTGATGGGAGCAGCTATGAGTATGACAGGAGATTTCACGTTCAGGGATGATGGTTACATAGAACTTGTACTTCGTATGCTGGGACTAATGTGCGATAACCAGCACTTTGAACTTCAGGTAAAAAGGAGACAAACAACTAGAAATGAATTTTAAATTGCTATCTCAGATTTTATTCGTGGGGGTCAATGTTCATGGGTAACAAAATGTTCATTTGTTCGTGGGCCGTAAATAAGCGGATAAATCGTTTTTTAAGCAGATTCAATGGACATATACGTTGACCAAAAATTGTTCGTTGATGTGTAATTTCATGGATAAAGGTGACCCAAGAAATCCACGAACATTGGTCCCCATAGAATAATTAATGATTCCACAGTGAATATTGTGTTTTAATAAATTGTTGACTGTAGAATTACATACGAGAGCAATATGATAACATCAAGTCGGTAAACCTGGTGGCAGAAACAACCAAGTTCCTAAACATTCTATACTCCAACATCAACGACAGGACCATGCCGTTAGTGGTGCAGCTCTTTGACACATTGGTAGAATTCACATCGGTAAATATGTGTATTCTTTATCAATAAATGGCTAGCTTAAATCAAAATGATAGGTAATTTGAATTTAAGATATGAAAAAAGAAGATCGCATCAAAATGAGTAACAGAGTATGGAGGATATCTTTCTCATACATAGCGTTTTTTTTTTATCAGGGCAATAAGAAAAACCAGTCGGTAGTGTTTGAAAACAAGGTTTGTGATTACATCAACCACATACTTAGGACGGGCCATTTTCCGGGCTGTGGACTCAAGGAGGTAACTGCAAACAAATTTAGTACTAAATTTATTCATTTCTTTTTTTCACGAAAGGTTATTCAATAATTATTGTTTCAGGAGTATATCCTGAAAAGGTCTATAGCAGTGCTGATACGATCTTTGACAGAAGAAAATACCCCGGATGTAGATGAAGAAATCATGGCAAAGGTGAGGAAGTGTATGAGTATAAAAGTTTTTTTTTCATGGTAGGTGTAAATGAATATTTAGGAAAACAATACAAAGTTGAAATGATATAACTCTCGAACCATACTTATCTGTTTAGAGTGTTTTAAATAACGAAACTCGGCATGAACTGAGCACAACACAGGTAAGAGTTGTCACCCTTTGAACTTCCTTTGCAATTGTTCATTGGAAACACTGAAGGGCCTTTTCCGATTTTATTGTTCCCGGAAAATGTCGAGCAATGTTTCGATTGAACGTCTCTAAAAGGTCACTATGGTCGGTGTCATGGGTGAAAAACTATTAAAATTTATAATTTTATATTGATTGGATTTTACTTTAAGAAATTATTGTGTAGAAAGTAAATAAAAAGAAATTCATAGGTTTGTTTGTCAGCAAGGTTTTTGAAATTTTCCTATACTCTAATAAATTCATAGACCATAGGATCTTCGTATTACTTGTATTAGTGTGTGCCCTATATAGTGATAACATTTGCTTTTAATGCTAATAAAGCAACTGTTTTGTCTGTCCAAATCTCCTCTCGGTGTATTCGTTATATCTGTATTTTATTCAACAGTACAAGACTAAGGTAACAGGCTTACATGCTGTAAGCTTTTTTGCAAATTGTTTTATTATTGCTTTTTATTATCATTATATTATTGTTGACGTGTTTTTTTTTACTGTTAAAGTATTATCAGGTGGTGCAAACATATATTTTAAGAAATATTGTCTATATGTAGCTTTTTAAAAAAGTTAAATATAAATAAAGGATGTGAATAACCCTGTAAATTCAAAATTCTATAATAAAAAATCGAAGATTTTTTCATTAAATCAAATACAAATGCATGTTTAACATAAAACTACGTTTTTAAAATAATGTGCTATTGTTATGAAATCTATACGCACAGGAAGTAATGGAGTACCTCGATGAGGACCATTGCGTCAACACGATGACTGAAGCCTACTCTCAAATCATGGTAATAATATTTGTTTGCAATGTTTCATCTATTTTTGAACATATACCTTTCTTTTTTAGTTCTTTTTTTATGAAAAGAAATGATAAGCTTGATTATTTTGCTCATTCTTTTCTGTCATAGAGTATGAGTAAATCTCGTTCATCTAAGGTATAAAAATGTGTTTTCTGTTGAGTCTTTTTTTCATTTCCCCCATCGATTGCACTACACAACATGTGTGTCTTCATACCTTTGAGACTTTGGTACATGTAAAACGTGCATGATTCCTCTTTGAAAAAATATTATTTTCATTTTAGAATATTTTTAAAAAGGAAATGAAAAAAAAAAAAAATCACGAGTTGCTTTCATATGCACATATATTTTTATTTTCCAAATTGTACGTTGCTTATGAATAAATCATTTTAAAAAATCGTAAATATTTAAATTAAGGATGCGAGAGAACTGCATTCAGCCAAGTACATGAACATACTAATTTTCCTTTTGGGATTTTTCAATTTTTTGCACAGTACAGCTTTAAGATGTGAATCACATTCTATACTCCTGCTAAAAATACTTGTTTATCACACCTTAATTAGACGAATATTTAACAAATTATTTGTTTGATTTTTTACTAATAGAATATTTTGCAATTACTCTGTAACATATTTGATAAAGAACTTTCCCCTGATTTATTATAAGATGTGATATTTGATAATTAATACAGGACTGGACTTGGTTACATAATTATCAATATCAACTTATTCAGTTATTGATTCTTGAGCTCCTTAAAAAGCATATTTTTTATTAAAATGATTTCAGGGTGATCGCAGAGAGTTTGAAGAACTGTATGATTTGATTGAGAGTACTGGCTTCGCCTACTTTCATATACTGTGTCGTGAAATGGATATGGACCCGAGTTTAGGGAGGGACAGTATGTATTATCTTATTCTAGTCAATATGATATTATACTAGTCAATATAATCAATAACAGATTGTGTACTGAGTATGTTATCTACTTAATAGTAATACGTCACAATGGGAAATATGATTGCTGAAAGGTTTTTTTTTTCAAGCAAAAAATCCATTCTATATATTTTTGTCTCTTACTCTTCAATCATATTTTTAATTTATTTTATTTTTTTATTTTTCAACCATTTAAGTTGATTTTTTAAGGTGTCTCAATTCTAAAGAGAGATGTGATGTTTCACGATTCTCTTAAATTCCTTATTTAGAATACTTTATATCTATTTGTCTTACCTTACTAACAGACTTGGTTAAGACAGACATGCAGCGAGCTGCTTGGGATTACTATGCAGCTAGTAGTTTGTCCATTGAGATTTTGAAAGACGATGCCTTGCAGAAAGTTTATTTCCGGGTCAAAGATAAAGTAAGCGGATAGATTTTTTTTGGACCTTTATAAATAAGATATTTGCCTTAATTTGAATTTGTAAGTAATTGAAGGTTACTTGTACATTTCCTTCATTATATGAGGTGCTTAGTTAATATTGAAATTTAGAAATAAAATTTTCAATACTGTTGTTGTATGGTTACTGATAATCTTTTGAAATTTATAATGAGCACATTATGAGAAATTATATGTTTATTATAAGTTTCTATATCATGTTCATTCCTTGTAAAGTTTATTGCACCTTTTCGTAATTTAAAGTCTTTACTTCACAATTTAATTAATTTTGATATGAAGATATAACTCTGTGTCGTATATATATATTTATTACATTTTCAACAGTGAAATACTGTGATTTATTTATTGAATAAAAGTGATATTCTCTCACAGTGTGAAAGGATACCAAAGTGATATTCTCTCAGTATGAAAGGATATCAAAGTCAGTAAAAAATAATTTCTGGCCTATTATAAGATAGATATAATAACTAAACCGTCTTAATTGAGACTATAATTGCCAATTTCTTCCCAAATATGTTGCTAAATTCATGTCACAATGTTCTAAACCTCACAATTGCTGAGCTATAATGTCTCAACCGCTCAACTATGACGTCACAGCCTATGACACTGTGTTAAGAAAAGACAGAGGCAGAGGGAAAATCAACGAAATAGTAATAAACAGAAAACTCAATGTTGTGTAGTTGAATATAGACTTTATTTCACTCTTGAGACAGAATTTTATTTTATATTTTCACTCTTGCTTCGCACTCGTGAAAATATTAAAAAAATCCTGTCCCTCTAGTGAAATAAATTCCATATCCAGCTACAAAACATAGAATATCCTCTATTTCTTATTTTAAATCTAGAACTACTCTTTAAAAAAAAAAAAATAAAAGATGGATGATAAATAACAATTTTAACAAGGGTTTTGGTACAAAGAACATTGATTTTAAATCACAGGTTATGAGTATTGTTACTGTTTTATGTTAACTATACTTTTGCAATATAAATACATTCTCCGTCTTATCAATATATCCAATTTAAAATCTAGAACTACTCTTTGACAGAAGGTACTCTTTAATTTCAAATCCAAAAGGTTTTTATTGAAAATAACATTGATTTTGAATCTGACGTTATCATTATTGATAATAAAACTGCTTTATGCAAATAGCACATATACATTTAAAATAATTCTCATTGCTTCAGAACGTGTTAAGAGAAGAGATCAAAGAAAAGTTTAAATACGAGGTTGACAGAACCTCCCCAAGTAACAAAATTAGAGATTTCATGGATTGGGCCAGTGATATCATCCAGGACATCAAATATCAACGAAAGATCCACTCCAACATTGTCGGAAGGATATTACTTAAAATGTGGTCAGTGTAAATAAAAGCTAGAGATTTTTCAGATTAAAATGAGGAAAGTGACGATTGTTTTAATTTAATGTCACATTTTTTCATTTTCTAAAAAATTATACCATGATATTTAAACTTTCCATCTTCCATACCTGTAGTTGTTAATTCTAGGCTTCCCATGAACTATATCGTGCTCTTTTTGAGTTTCATCATTAGCTGCGTCATCATGGTGACATGGAGAGACCCCAAAAACGCGGATGGAACCTCGAACACGGGGAGGTAACTCTTTACATTCCATTGAATGACAATTATATTTTGACGGAAAAGGAAATCTTAACTTCAATTTCTCTTGTTTTTTAGCATAGTCCCTGAGTTCACCATAGATAGCAGTACATACTATCTGTTTTTGTATGTGTGCGGAGGAATACACAACTTTCTTAGCTTAAGTATGTTGGTGACATTTTTAATTTCTAACCAGCCAACGTTCCCTCCATACAATTGGCTCAAAAAGAAATTGTGAGTACTTTAAACTTTGTGTCTAATATAAAATTGAATTAGGGAAGCAGCCCTCTTGAGTATGATTAAAGATAATGAAATAAAACACGCTTTATGCAAATCCTATTTTGTGATTTCCCCATCTATTTCAGGTCGTCTAATCGTGAAGATGGCGACGATGATGACGTCAGATCGTGGCATGAAAAGAAATCGGACCAATCACATCTAGAATTTGAAATTTACAACATATACACAATTTATTATTTTGTAAGAAAAATATTAACTTGTCACTTTAATTATATAATCATCTTTTCGATCCATGAAAGAACTAGCTACACATCATTTAACAATTACTTATGGGAAAATTTGAAATATAATGCATATTTCTTTTTTAGAGTATGTAACTGAAATTAATATAACTATCAATAAATCAAATAACTGTACTTCCTTTTTTAAATAAGTAAATGTACTTGCTGTTAATTTCTTTGTTGAGAAGAGATTAAGATATACTTACTCCATTATTTTTGGAAAATATGTATCTAAATATTTTCTTTCAAAGATAACATTTTTAGTTCCTTTTCACCGCATCAAATAATAATTTGCACTAATTCTCTACTTTCAGCTGTTTTTCGTGTGCTCCGTTCTAGGTACAGTTTATTATGGGTATTTCTTTTCCTTCCACTTGCTCCATTTAGCTGAATTAAATCAGCTCCTAAAGAGGGTCCGACAGGCAGTTACCACCAATGGTGAGCAATTATATTTATGATATGTAATGCTAAGTACATTCTGCTTGCATGATATCTTTGTGTCCGAGAAAAAGTTTCCAGAAAATCGGTTAATATCTGGTTCTAGTTTATTTTATGCATTTTTAATTTATCCTTTATTCTTCCATTTTCGATTTGTTCAAATATGATACCCTTGAAAACCCAGTAACTTTTTTAAATTGGCATTTTTCCAAGTACTTAGAAGCTCTGGTTTCATACACCAAGAACAGTGTTTGTTATAATTTACTTAAGATGAAATAATTTAATGTATTTCAGGTAAATCTTTGTTAATGGTTGCCCTCCTTGGCTTGGCTATTTTTTTCTGCTACTCCTTGGTGGCCTTTGCTGTGTTGCGGGAGTCATTCTTCCAAGAATCAGCCGGACGACATTGTCGAACTGTTTACCAGTGTTTTATCACTATGATTCATCATGGCTTTGTTGACACACCTTATACGGTTTATATTTGTTGTATTCTTTTTTTATCGTAATGAACAATTATACGAAATCACAATATAACTTAGGAATCTTTGTAAGAAACAAATGCATAAACTCAGCGAAGTGCACTACTGCAAATATACATGTTATATATGAAATTGATAATGAAGAAGGAAATGCCTTGAGTAGGCAATTTATTTATGTATTAAATTTGCTAAATTAACTTTTATTTGACCTTTTTCAGACCTTTGAAGGTATTATGACCTCTGACTATACTGACGTCATCAAAGTGACGATATTTGATGTCACATTCTTCATTCTTATCACCACTATTGGGCTGAATATTATCTTTGGTATCATAGTGGACACGTTCTCACAGCTTCGAGATGCCAAGGTATGACCATCTCTCTCTCTCTCTTTTTATACAAACACACACCAGGTTATATAATAGCAATTTTGTAACAAATTCTAACGACCCTACCAGGCGATTGTTTGACTTTAACACCAGAAGTCAGTCATCGTTATTTTTATGATAATTCATCTTTTTTTCAGTGGGAAATTGACAAAGATATGATGAATAACTGCTTCATTTGCAGCAGAGAATCCTATGATTTTGAGAGACATGGCGGGGTGAGAATGACGATTAAACTCATACTATGAAAGTTTAAATATTTTAAAACTAAAATACTATAAGTAAAATACTTACAATGGTTATAGATTATTTTTAAAAACGACATTATAAAGAATGTGTTTTGAAAACTTGCAAGCTCTAAGAATAGTTTGTTAGTGCGTCACATTTTGTAGTTGCTATACCATATAATAGCAGCATCAAAGAAAAAGCATAAAAAAGGGAAGATTTTTATAGCTGTTGTATTTTATAATTATGTTGTTGTTTAATCGTTGTTATTGCTATCTTTGTAAAACTGCTTTGAAGTTTATTGAACATATATCTTGACAACTTGCGTAAATGTTCGAAACCCAAACCTTGCTTTACTTCAGATAAAAATAATCATGGTCCCTCGATAGCAATGCCTGAGAATCATGTTATTCTGTGCTGTACAAAGAAATGGTTCCGTTGTTAACAAATATTTCCTTTTTCTATACGATGTTTTTTTTTTTACCAATGTTTATGAAAGAATTTTGATTCGTTCTAAACAGAAACTAAAATGTTCCGTTACGTATCGTTTAAGATATCCGACCCATAATAGCCTCAGAATCGATGAATGTGCAGTAATGCATAATAGATAAGTGTGGGCTGAATTCTTAGTTATTCAGACATATTTTTATATGTTTTATTATCAGTAAGTAAGAGCAGAATGTTCCCTTATTAATGACCTTGTCCTGTCCTTTGTCTCTCCCTTTGCTTTCGATCGATAAAAATCAATTCTGAAAAAATCTATCTGGTAAAAATTTAGTCTTCAATCAATACAACTTTCCATCACAGCATTTATCAATATTTTTCATTTTCATAAACATTGATTGTCCCCATAGACCTTAGTAATACCTACATTGATTACATGTAATTACTCCTTAGGTAATTATATTTTTGAAAATTTCTCTTGGTATACTTTCTTCTACTCTAAAATGCTTTGAATTAATAATAGAATATTTTACACATGATGGATATTTAAGGTTAGAAAATAAGGTCCTAATATGGGTAGGATACCTTAAAATGATAAGACTTCCCTTGTACAATATCAAATTACTTTGTTTGTTTATTTATTCAATCGTTTCTGTGATTTGTTTGATCAACATGAAAATGAAAAAAAAATTGTAAATTATTTCTTATATAACTGTGCTTGATTTATTCGGATAGTGGAGATAGATTTTATCTAAGAAAAGGGATAAATGGTACCTTTTTGGAAGCCCAACATTTTTCCCATTGTACTAAAGTGAATGTAAAACAGAATTTTTACGGAATGATTTCAGGGTTTTGAGAAACACGTGAAAACAGAGCACCACCAGTGGTCCTACCTGTTTTTCTTCATCCACCTGACAGAAACACGTCCTAACGATTTCTCCGCTCTGGAGTTGTTTGTTTACAACCAGCTAGAGAGACATATTTATGATTTCTTCCCCCTGAATCGAGCCCTCAGTCTACAAAACGAAGAGGACTCTAATGAACGAAAAGTAGAGATTTTACGTATTCAAGTGGAGTACATGGTCAACAAAATGAAGGAAGAGGTGGGGATAGTTTATGTTTTTATTGTTGAATTTAAAACAAATGCAACGATAAAACATGATAAAAATTATTAAAGTGGCCAACTTAAGACATTTGAAGAAAGAGAATAATTGTATCTTGTACATTACTGGATAAAGCGCGTGCAGGCATGACTCAGATCGGTATTGTCATTCCTACAGCAACCATATGATCAAGTTAAACAAAATATAACAAGAAATTATTAAAAAAATTATTAAATGCACTATATGACTTTTTTCTGTAAACATTTAGATCTTGGTTAGGAAGAGGGAATTTGTGCAACCCCCCCCCCCCCTTTTAAAACATAAATTCTACAACATTTTTTTATGTTCAAATTTCAGGCAGCTGAAAAGGAAAGACAAAAAGAGAAGCAGCGCCAGCTGGCCTGGGAGGCGGAGCATAAGGCTCCTGTGACCAATAAAATGTCTCCAAAGTCTTCTAAAAATACTATCCACAAGTAATCAATGAAAAGATCATTCACAAGTTACCAATAAAAAGAACATTCTCAAGTAGCCAATAAAAAGAAGTTCTTAAGTAACCAAGGAAAAGACTTTTTTTAATATGGGTAAACGTTCAACATTTAAATTACACAAGAAGAGGAAAGGAAACAGAATTTTGAAACTAAAAAGTGCTTCCTTTGAAATATGCATGCATGACGTTTACATACACAGAGCGTCAAATGGAAATATATCTCGGGCGCTAATTTGAGTAAACACTGGGTATTATACATGTATTAATGTTATCTGGTTTTATTTGTTCTATAAGAACACATTGCTTTATAAGAACACATTTGTTGTTATTTTATTTTGTTATTTCTTATTTTGTCTGCATAATCCCACGACAGAAAAGTTGAATTAACTTACTTTTGGTATCACTTTAATTCATTGTGTTTCAGCTTGCATTTTAACAAATTACAATAACTTAGTTTTTTAAGCTCATCTGAGTCAAGACATTAATTAGTTTTTCTGATAGAGATCATTTCCGGTGTCCGTCTGCCTATCTTTTTGCATCCTTTGTAAACTTTCACATTTTCAGCTTCTTCCCGATAAATAACGAAACATTTCAACCAAAATTGCTTCAAAGTTTCGTTGGGTGAAGGGAATTGAAGTTTGTTCAGATAAAAAGCCGTGCCCTCTTTCAAAAGAGAGAAAATGCATTCATTTAAATCATCTTCTTAAGAACCATTGGTCTAGAGAAGACTCGGGTGTTTTCTATTGTGTAGAATGAAGTTCAAATTATCATAGGGGCAGAAATAAGCCATAATAGGGTGTTAAATATAAATACAGAAAAAAAAAACATGAAAAGTTTCCTATAAGAACATCACAGCCGTTATTACTAGGAGATGCTAGTAAGCAGATTCCTCATGTAGTTTACCTTTCCTTTTTTTCCAAATTATGACCCCTGTGCAATAATTTGAAACAATTGGGGTAAAAAAAAAATTGGCAAAAAATATAGACATTTACAAGAACAAGAAGTTAACATCAAGCCTGGATATACTATAAATTCAAATTGTTGAAATCATACATGGACATTCATATGGTTACCACAGAAAAGGGTTTAATTTATCTAAATGTACAAATTCAATTTTTCAGGAAAAGAGTGGTGCATAATAAAAGTGCTGTGGCTCAAGGCTCAAGGGCCTCTTGTTTAATTTCTTTTTATAATCAACATTTGCAGAAGAAATTATGCAAAGTAATTGCAAGTAATTGCATAAATATATGGCGAAACAAAATTATGTGGCCTGTAAAGGAGAATATTTTCACTCCTTGATAGGCGTTTCACCAAATTGATTAATATTTTGCGTCAGAGGGAAACATGATAGACAAAATAAAGGTTAAACACAGTTGTCAGTGGTTTTGTTGTTTTTCTTCGTAATAACTGGGTACGTTTGATGTGTTATTGTACAGTACATCTATCATGGAGGTTGATGCAAATCGGTAACCGCTGAGTTTGAAGTTGTTACAGACTCCGTCAAATTACACGTACATGTGTATTTGGAAATACCTCCGTAATGAATTGCTTCATGTGTGGTCTGGCGGTCAGATAGTTTAAGAAAGGTATAAAAAAAAATACTACTAAGAGAAAAAGTTAATGCTTGAAACTTTCTGTCACGTTAAACATATTCATTGTAAACTTATAAAATTATAGAGCATAAATTCAGTAAGGTGGATTTAACCTCTACGTTCAAGAACTTGATTTATTCTTTCTTAGAACCAGATGCAATAACCTTCACAAGAAGTCCAACACTGTTGAAGAGACTGCTGGCTATGTACATGTCTTCATTATCACCAGTTATCAATACACCCAGGGATCTAACGGATCTTCTACTCTCATTCATGCTCCCTCTTTTTGTTCCCCTCAACTTCTCAGGTCGCTTTCCTTCTTTCTTACAATGATAAGTCCAACCTGATAATGATGCCGATCCCTTGCATTTGGGGCGAAGAAGCGAGTGGCTAAACAAGACGGACGTTCATATACAATCGGATTGCCACTAGCTTTCTTGCACCCAGAGATACACTGTACAAACTGTCCTCCCTTCATCTGCATGTATATTTGCCTAAAACTAGTCTACTGTTGCTGTATTTCTTTTATATCTGTTTTCAGTACACCTCTGCACTGCACTTTGAAACTGTTAATATATGATTGGTTAACGTTTAGTGCATTCAGAAAGTGTCGCAAGTGTCGAGCAGTTAAAGTGGCGAAATCAGCAAAGGGTTTCTGAGGAGCGTAGTGGGCCTTGACTTGAACTTGCAAAATGGTGCAGAAACTCTATTTTGACCAATGGATGTGTCATGACCTTGACATTTTATCTTTTGAGTAGGTTTAAGGTAGGGGCAGATAATATTTTGTGCAATGGTAATAACTTTTCAACAGAAACACGAGAATCTACTTTGATACATTACATTATTACGAGAAAAGAAGAAAACACTTATTGTGGCCTTCAACTCGACATTTATGTATATCGACGACGTATTGTCAATTAACAATGGTTATTTCCATTCTTATGTAGACACGATATTTGGATATTTTTTTTTAGAAAAAGACGTTAATGGTAATCTAACAAGAAACCTTTATGATAAACGTGATGACTTGAACTTTTAAATCGTCAGCTTCCCTTACCTATGCAGCAATATATCCTTATCACCTGCATACAGAGTTTATATCTCTCAGTTGATTGGTTACACCAGAGCATGCTCTACGTATGAACAATTTCTAAAACGAGGTAAGTTATTGACAAACAAGTTGATGAAACAAGAATATCAGCAGACAGCAGTCTCGTTTGAAGTCATCATTTCGTAAGTTCTATGGTCGATATAATGACCTAGTCAGCAAATACAATCTATCATTAAATCAAATGCTGACTGACTTTTTTCATACTAATTGTTAGGCCATTATTTACACACTGAATTGTCGACGGATTTTTCCGTTATTTCCCGATCATGACAAGGAGCACATGGCGGGTGTGACCGGTCGGCAGGGGATGCTCACTCCTCTATGGCACCTGATCCGACCTCTGATGTCTTAGAGGTCCGTGTTTGCTCAGCTCCTATCTTGTAATGTTTAATGGACTTTTGAACTCGAATACTGTTCGTTATCTCCACATATTTCATACACAGAATTCCAATGACCTGAAAATATGTTTTTGTAAAATTTCAATGTTATTTAGAAAAGTTCAAAGTTAATGGCGAGAAGAAATGTAAAGTTTGTGGTAGTGCCATAATTTTCCAGAAAAGTAACATTGGAAGCTAAGAGTTCTCACCAAATTACTTATGACCTAAAGGTTTTCCGTTGTCTGTATCTAATATTAGAAGGTTATGTTCAATGTCAAGTGCAGAAAGACTTTTCAGTTGTACCTTATTACATATTAGACTAAAACTGAGAGTGTGTTATAACGCCGAGTTTGGGTAAGTTGGATAACTACTAAATTAATTGTAAAAAATAAAAGTGTGAAGTTTCTAATGATGATAAATTGATAACCCATACCTTACATAACCGTTTATTATCTGAAAATGTGTTCTGAATCTGATTCACAGTGAATTTATCAATATGAAAGTTAATGGAGGTTTCTGGAAGAAAGGGAGTGGAGGAGCATGCTTAACTTTGTGAGCTCGTTTACAGTTTCTCTAGTTTTACTTCTAAATACTATTTAATATCTACAGTGTATTTCAAGAAATTCATTAATTATCATTACATTTACTGTGTATATATTTTAAGGAGATATTATGTAAAACTGTCTAGTATCCGCTCCTTTTGCATATAAAATAACATATGTTGGACACCTAAAAAAGTCCTCGCAATATTGCGATCAAAGTGCTTTATGTCAAAATAAACACATAATTAAGTGTCATATTTTTGTCCAACACGTAGGCGTCGTCATAAAATATAAAATGTGATATAATATTCAAGATGAAATCTTACCCAATGCAATCCCGCAATACAGGTAAATAAATTAATTATCATAATTAATTGTTTTACTTGCAACATGTATGTAAACAATATTGAAAAATGGTATACAGTATGAAACCTGCGAAAAAGCTCGTTTTTTGCGTCACAATTCATTTAACACGTGTGAAAAAGAATATTAATTAAAGTTCAACACACGATCTTGCGGTGTTGATGGACGAGAGAGACATTAATTAATCGCAAGGTAAAACAACAAAAACGGCACAGGTAGTGCTGGGTCATTGAAGCGGAACCATTAAGGCTGGACAGAAACACACGCCAATGAACGTAATACCTTGCAATTTATGCAAAGTGAGAATCACGAAATTTCAAAACGACAGTCGTAAGAAAGAAGCGTTGACCTGGGTTCTTCATATTAATTCAAAGTCGTATAGTGAAATTAACAAGGTTTTTCTCTCTGTGGGACCTTTTTTTGAATTATAGTATATGTTTCTTATGAAAGGATTATATTCTATGTGGATTTATCGGTGAATATTGAACATAGTTTGATCTTGTTAGGGTTTTTATTAATAATCTGTGTCAGATGCTGATAGACACTGAATGAAATAAATTTTACATTCTCTTATAAGTTGATGGATATCCAGTACTTCACGCTTTTCTTCGATGGTTGACTTCTGAATTGGAGTTTTAATTAACGATAAAAATGGGGACGCCTAATTGGGCGACCTATTTTGATGGAATCGAACCCGACTACCCAGGGAGACCAAGGGAGGATAAGCATTATGGATACTGCCCTCAGCAAACACAGGACACTCGAAAACGAAAGCAAGGAATGGTATTTCCAGAAGACACATTTAAACTGCAAGACCTAGAAAACATTCAAACAGCGACTGGAAGAATATCAACCTCCGGTTCTTGGAGAAGTACTTCCGGTTCCCGCCCGCCTTGTTCTCATCCTACGAGTCCCAGCTATACTTCATCCTCTATTGTCAGTGACGTTCAGTACGTGCCCCCAGTGTCTGCGAACCAGGGTAGGGCTTTACCCCCGATACCCGTGGAAGCGGATGGTTGTGTACACTCTGGGAGTGTTCGATCCTGTAGTGATCGTTCACAACCAAAATCTCCATTACATTTAAAACTGTCTCCAAATTACAGTAACCGGGAATTGCCGCTTATTCCCGTAGAACATAGAAAGGTGAGAGATTCCAATACGAATGTTTTAGAATTTATATATCACTGAAAGTCATATCTATCAGATATATTCATATATGTGATACTGTTAATATAAAGGTTAAAGTTATTGAAAAATGTATTCTATGTTCTTTGAATCAGGCTCCACTTTTGTCTTATACATTCCTTTAGTAAAAGTGAAACTGCGACCAAAAGTGAGTTTATCTAAGCTTAATGGCTCTGGAGCCTGGTCCTTGAATAAAAGGGGTAAGGTAAGGGGGGTGGGTGTTTCTCGCTAACTACCGACAGGAATATCAAGGCAGACCTCCTGAAGTGGGCCTACTAAGATATAACTGCGTTTGTCCGTTTGAATTATATTTTTCGGGAAATAATATAATTACTTTTATTCATCAATCATACTTTAGTTATTTGCATTTTTTCATTTCAAAAATGGCGTCCAACACTATATTCCAGCACATTATTTATGGGAAGAAAATATTGGGATCAGAGGTTCAATGAATTTAATTGGGTTCTAATTACCTTCAATTAACAGGTTATGCATTACATTATTTTGTTTTAATAAAATATGTGAAGATTTTTTTTTACAGACGTTTATCGTCATTAGTGTCTAGGATTTTTTTGCAAAAAGTACAGATATGCGGTTAATCGTATCATGTTTGGGAGTAATCTTGAATATCCCATAATGAAATGAAGGGAATATAACTGAAATTTATGGTAATTATTAAAAAAGTATTTTATTTTCAATTTTAGAAAAAAATTATAAAAAGAGGGAGAAGAACAGAGACATTAGAGGAGAGAGAGAGAGAGAGAGAGAGAGAGAGAGAGAGAGATCTACAATTATTAAACACGAAAAACAAAAACGAGGATGAAATCCATATCCCTTGAATGGTTTCACCCATAGGTCATTAACCTTTGACATGATGTATCTTAAATTAAATTTGAAAAGTTCAGTACGCCAATAAAATGGATGTTAAAAAGTATACTGCTTTTGCATGGACATTTTTATGACCATTTCAATGCTTTTTCTTCTTCACTAGAAGAAGAGCTGTGAAAAATATAATTTATTATGGTTTAACAAAATCAGAAATTGGTATGAATAATTAATCACTTGGTTATGAATTGCAAATGAATTTTTTGAGTTCATAAAACATGTATTGTATCTTTTGTTTCCAAATGCTTTCAAACTGTATTCAAGCCACGTACATTAGGAACGAACTAATAACCCACCCCAACCCAGCCCACTCCCCCCCCCCCCAAAAAAAAAAAAAAATCATGGTATATGGTATAAACCTGTTGAGTACTTTATATTTTTAGTTAGAGAAAAGGCATCTCAATGCTGTTTTGAATCTTTGAATCTCGTATGTTTATCAAGTGTAATGCTTTAGGTATTCTGTTTGTTTTGCTTTTTTAAAAAATAAAATTGGCACCTGTTTTCCTTTCAATTCATTACCCAAATATATGTAGAAGCAAAAAAAAAAAAAAAAAAAAATTCTCATTTTAAAGTCTGTCATGGGAAATCTTTCAATTAAATGATAACTAAATATAGGTAAATAGTTAAGTGCTGCTCACTAACCTTACTTGGGTCAATGTTACAGGTAAAAAAAAAAAAAAAAAGAAAAGACAAATGCATTTCTTTTAAAGGGAGAAAGCGCAAAGTCGATTTTTCTTCATGACTTTTCAGCCTTGTGTCAAATTGTAGATTTACAAAAAAATTAATCATGTATTGATTATAAAATTTTCAATAGGGCAAAACTGCGTATTGTAAATGTGTATTTAAAACCAACAAAGTAAAGAAGTAGGTACGGTTTTGGCTTTGGCTTATTTTTGAATGTGTTAATCAGTAAAGAACGTATCATAGGGGAGGACCTTTCAGTTTCTGGAAACAGAGAAAGCCTAAACAATTAACGGTTTTAGAGAATTCCACTGAAAATTGATGTCTTTTGCAACTTTTTAAGAAAATATATGGAAATGCACAAGTTTATACGTCACAGTTGGTACTTAGTAGGTCATGATTGTAATATAAAATTCTTACTTCATGGCCTTTGAACAGTTCAAAAAGCATTTCTCAAAACAATTTTAAAATTTTGAAAAACCACAGGACCGGATTTTTATTGAAACCATCCCTTCTTCTTCATATTGTAAATCGGAAACTTTGAACTTGGGAAGCAAAATATGGCTCTTCACGTACAGATATTGTTATTGTCGGCATCCATCTGCATCCCATCAGAAAAAGCAAAGAGAAAAGTGTCTATATTCCTATAAAAAAAATCGTAATTTTGAGGTCACGTTGACGGCAGTTTTATCTGTCATTTCCTTAATACTGTTATCTTTACGATATAAAAAAGACAAGCGTTAATTTGTAAAAAATATTCACTATCCAATGACGCACTGTATATGAAATTATAATTTTCTGTCTTTCCTGATAATTGTTTTATTTCTACCTGGTACATGTAAACCTTGTCTTGTTTATTGCTTCTCAGGTTTGGTTACTTGTAACACTGTTTGACCTGTGTACTCAAATAATAGATAAATGGGGATAATTTGGCTTTGATTTCCATGACAACATTTTTAGAATATCTGGATCGATGTATAGACTTGTCTTACATGTAATTTAGGCAAAAAAAAAAAAAAACAAAAAAAAAAAAAAAAAACAAAAACAAAAAAACTCCTTATATTCCAAATGCATTAAAGCTCAATTAAGTATCTAGTTTTAAATTTGTTGGAATCGAGATTGAAAATCTCTTTTGCCTTTGCTGATGATGTTCAAAAATACTTCACTATGGTGGTAAAATGAGATATCTTCTGTCCTGTCTTGGAGATTACGTATTACACATGTATAGGTGTTTCATCAAGGAGAACTTTAATGATCCTGTTACATTTGAATTTGTGCGCAGTGAATTTCAAAAATGACTATTGGCACATAAACATGAAGTAGATAGTGAAAATCTAGTATTTTTTTTAAAAATATTTACAGCAAAACTAAGTAAAATATTTCATCGATATTATTTTTGCATCCATCCTTCTCTTACTCTCGAGCCCAGTGGATAAAGGAATGTCATTTCTTAATGTCCTTCAGCGATAAACATGAATACTTTAAAAAATTACAATTATTATAGTTCTTTTATATAGAATGATATCATATTTATAAGTTTAATTAGAATTCTCTCTTTAATTATTTGCATTTTAATGGAACTTTTTTTAAAAGCCCAATAAAGTATACACTGCCTATTTTTTTCTTACGCATGTATTCATCCAAACTTAATTACGTATGTATATAATACAGAAAAGTTAAAACAGCTGTTTATCATACACAAGCAACATTCAAATAATTAAATGTTTTAGCTTTATAGTTCTTTTATTGCGTTTATTCTGTTATATGAAAATAACAAACAGAAAACAGGAAATAAATAGAGGATATTCAATGTTTTGTATATGAATATGGAATTTATTTCACGAGTGGGACACGATTTTTTGGTATTTTCACGGGTGAGTGCGAAGCACGAGTGAAAATATCAAAAAATCTTGTCTCACGAGTGAAACAAATTCCAAATTCATCTACAAAACATTGAATTTTCTGTTTATTACATTTTCTTTGATTTTCCCTTTGCCTCTGTCTTTTCTTAACACAGTGCCACAGGCTTGACGTCATAGTTGAGCGGTTGAGACGTCATAGCTTAGCAGTTGAGTGATTGAAAACATTACATAGCATGTATTTTAGCAACATATTTGGGAAGGAATTTGCAGTTTTAGCTCTATCAAATTGCTTAGTTACTATCTCTATCTTATGACAGGCCAGAAATTATTTTTTATTTACTGTGATATCCTTTCACACTGTGAGAGAATATCATTTTGGTATCCTTTTACACTGTGGGAGAATATCACTTTTATTCAATAAATAAATCACAGTATTTCACTGTTGAAAATGTAATAAAATGATTTATAAAGCAATGTAGTAAACACTGCTGAAAGGAAAGCCACCGATAGGCCTACTATTGATGAATTTGCATTCATTTTTGATACATACATTCAAATCATTTTTATCATTCGTGGGCTGAGAATTTAGAACACATTTCTTATCACTTACAATGTAGGATGACATCGCCATCCAAAGACTGATATACACGACATTGAAATTAATATCATCACATATTGTGGCTGTCCTATTATAAAATGTTAACATGGTGGTTTATAAATGATACAGTTATATCATTCATGGATACAAAGTAACTAACGATTATTAGATTGTATCATTTGAGGATTTTTATCACTGGTGGACACTTTAGAGAGTTTGACCCAAGAGAATTTCAAACTCAAAAAACAGTCAAACAGTATTGAACAAGACCATACTTAATCAAGCACAAGATATTTTGGCTAATAAAAAAATGCGTCATTTAATTCACAACTCCGGGAATGTTTGAAGTACGTTTTAAGGAAAGTGAGAAACTCCTCCATCAATCGGCAATATGTCAAAACGAATGTCAACATTTCATTTCTTTATGACCCACCTTCATCTTCGCCATTTTGTTTCTCTCTGTGTGGTGAAAGAACAACGTGGGTTTTTACGCTGGGTCTAATAATTGAGAAAATATTGTTTTTTTGTACGGACAAAAAGTGAGCTGAATAGCAGTAAATAACAATGGATTTGTTTAAATAGAAGAATAGTAGCCAACATGTATGACGCTAACAGGAATATACACTCATACAAACAGGTAAGATGAAAAGGGATTTTACAATTTAGCCCGAAGTGTAAAAAATTCAAACTGTAGAAAATTTTCTTGCCAAGTAACTATTGCCCTTGATCAGAGAGAGAGAGAGAGAGAGAGAGAGAGAGAGAGAGAGAGAGAGAGAGAGAGAATTTGACACAGCTTGTACAGTAAAACTTGTTTAATCCGAACACCATTGGTTCCATATAAATTGGCTGGATTAGATAACATTCCTGATTAGACAACATTTCAAACAATTGAAAGTTCTAAAAGGGACTAAATGTAATCCTCCTATTAGGCAAGATTTCGATATATACAACATACGAATAAGACAAGTTTCACTGTATATCCGTATCTATAATTGCAGTTGGAACTAATTTGAACCTTTCAAGGAAGAATAGATAATAGTTGAAGCTACATTTGATATGAGAATCTTTCACATACAAAATGTTAAAATACTACCTTCGTGCACGGTTAACAAAAGAAACAAGCAGTCTGAGAGTATTGCATTAGCAATACTAGTCCCCTACCGGCAAGTGTAATCTGGTTCCCGTTAAGAATTGAAAATGCCATAATTCCGTCAAAAATCAATGAAGCGGTACGAAATGCAAACTTGATCTATAACTAATCAAGGTAAAGTCACATACCAAAAATCAGTGGCTCAATATCTGAAAGCATTTAGAAGAAAATTGTGGAAAACCCTTAAAAATTGAAAAGGCCGTAATTCCTTCAAAAATCATTGAAGCGGAACGATTAGACTTGCGGAATCAAATCAGATTACACTTGCCGGTAGGGGACTAGTATTGGTAATGCAATTCTCTCAGAATGCTTGTTGTATTTATCAATGATTTATTAGTCCCCTACCAGTGAAACCGGAGGGGACTATAGGTTTCCTCTGAGTCTGTCCGTCTGTCTGTCTGTCTGTCCCTCCGTCTGTCCGTCAGTCTGTCCCACTTGGTTTTCCGCACTTTTTTCCTAAACGCTTGCAGATATTGAGCTGATTTTTAATATGTGAGTGTATCTTGATGAGTTACAGACCAAGTTTGCATTTCGTTCCGCTTCATTGATTTTTGACGGAATTACAGCCTTTTCAATTTTTAGGGGTTTTCCGCAATTTTCTTCTAAACGCTTTCAGATATTGAGCTGATTTTTGGTATGTGACTTTACCTTGATTAGTTATAGATCAAGTTTGCATTTCGCCCCGCTTCATTGATTTTTGACGGAATTATGGCATTTTCAATTTTTAACGGGAACCAGATTACACTTGCCGGTAGGGGACTAGTATTGCTAATGCAATAATTTCAGAATGCTTGTTTATGGTATTCATGAATTAGCACATTGATATCCTCACAAAAGCCGCTAATTTAAAAAGCCTGCTTTTTAAATGAAAGTAAGATATGTTTGGGAAAAAAATCTTTTAATTTTTAGTAGATATGTATGATTTATATTGACTTGATTTACTCCTTTAAAAAGCCACAAATGTCCATTTTACTATTAAAGGGCGGTATATTTGTTCATTTTCTGGTGTGGAACAATGACAAAGTATTTTTTTCTATATCAAACGTATCATTCAACTTGATTTACAATCTTGGAATAATTAATGTGCAAGATTTTTAACCTGTAAGATAAAATCTCATAAATTATCATCATTAGCATTTTCTTGCATGTATTTGCCCGACACCATTATCTAAATATTATTTTCACGTTTTTGTGAAAGAATTTATAGAAACAATGTATCATGTTCTTACATGTAATTTCTTCATTTGATAATCAGTGTAATTTATTTTCATTTAGAATATACACAACGAGTCAAAATCTAAACGGAAAAGGCAACATGGAGAGAAAAGTACGAGACGATCCCGCAAAAAACCCGGGGACCATGATCCAGAAACAGCAGTGGTATTAACTGTATCTATAAGGAATGGAAAACATACAAAGAACGTGCATCATTCCAAAATGTTAAATAACAATATTGATGACGGTTTTACTTCGACGTTCCACGTCAAAAAGCCCTTGGAAAGTACCCTAAGTCGAGAACGTGCTGCGAAGGAAGCTGACAAAATTACGGTTCCTCTGCGTTCCAGTGTGCGCATGAGTCGGAAGCGGTGTCTCGTTCCCATGGTTATCATTACAATTTTAATTTTGGCAGGGTTATTATCTGCTGTTGCCTTCATCTTACTAAGACCATTACAAGAAGGTGAGTGCAACATATAATTAATTAATTGATCAATGACTTCCGATTTCAAATACATGAATATTTATCATACATTGTAACATTTTTGAAAATATTCTAGAAAGTCTCACAGCTCGAATTCGAGACTTCTATGTATTTTTTAACCTTACATTTTAAGTGTTTTATGCCCTATTCACAGATTTGTTCCTTTGTAGATATTTTGAGATCGATCACTGTTCGTTATCTTCACGTTTTTTTCATTTAAGGTTTTCAGCTCAGTAGCCTCATGTTGCCTGGTCCAGTAGGCTATGTTTATATTTAGCAACTTTTTGTTCAGTTAGTGTGATTCTTATAAACTTTTTCTTCTATATTTGGCCACTCGCGACATAGCTGTCCATCACTGATAGTTTATTCGACTTACAAATGTCAAGGTCCTTCCGGGACTTTAAGTTATGTGGACGCGACGGGAACCGTGTGCCGCACTAATGAAGACCGATGAAAAAGCTGTAAAACAAACATTTACAAACAAGTTAACGATTTGTTTTTGCTTTGCCCTGAATGACCAAATCCCATCCATGTCAGTTATACATTCGTCTATAAAGAAATATAGTTATAGCATCTCAAACAAAACTTTGGCATTTGTGTGCATGCATTTTCTAATGTTCTTTCATTTAGTATCTAGCATATTTGACAGGCATGTTTTAAAATTAGCGTGTCAGATGGAGATTACATGCCATAGATAGGGACAAATCGTTCTCCGGTAAAAATTATCTCTAAATAATTGATCGTTGTGCAGAAGATCTTGATGTTTGAATTTTTTTCTTCAAGCTTTCATTTGATCTATACCGTATGTTTCATAACATGTCACGGTTTAAACGAAGAAAAAAAAAACAATAAAAAGATTTTTAGAATGTACCTTTTCTGAATCTCACCTGCCTTATACATTGTATAATGAACTTGAGTTGATATGATACATGTACGTCCCTTTAAAAATATCATTTGTATTAGTTTTTCATACTGAAAACGCTGAATAAAAAAATGTACATTTTAATTTGGTAGAACCTTTTTCTCTTAATAATTTTTTGGTTGAAGAGATTGTGAAGAAAAATCTTACATTATTTTTTTTCTCGAATTCAAAACAGGGATATTGCCCTCAAAGTTCACTAAGAAATTAGAATTGATAATTTTACCTATTGACAAAATTAGTCTAACAATTTACATAGGATCGATCACTCTTTCATAAAGAAAGTGTAAGCTGAAGATTAAAAGTGGCTACTTTTTGGAATAACTGTCAGATCATTGTAATGAACTATGATTTGAAAAGGATACAAAAAGAACTTGGTCACATGACTAAAGGCTTTGTTAATACAGATACAAAATATTATCAAAATCATCAATGACTGTAATTCTTGTACAAGTTGTACTTTAACGTCTAATCAAAAATATTATATTTTATTTTAACGTTCGTGTATTTCAATGTTGAAAAAAATGAAATAGATTGATCCTCTCCTCTGTTTCCCTACGCAATTGAACAAGTCAGTGACGTCAAATATGTAGTGGCATGTCCGTAGGAACCGGGGGAGGGGGGTGCCCCCAATAATTTTGCCGATGTATAGATTACTATAGAAAACATAGCTACTATATGTTTGTGCCAACCCTCAATAAAAACGTCTGATGACTTTTTTTTAGCTTGTCAAGGAATTTTGGTAGTTGATACCCCCCCCCCCCCTCCACACAAACACTTAAAATGAATGGTTGTGCCAACCCAAAACTGAAATTACTTCCTACGGGCCTGACAGTTACTTGGTATCTGTTTGTGATGCAAGTGTTCATACTTGCTCAAGTATAAAAGGCGTTATTTTCAAATTTTCGAAGAAGGTCACGGATTTGTTCAGTAATTTGAATTTCATATTAAAGAAGTGAATTTTCATCAATTTTAAGACATGTAAAATTACAATGTACAAAGCAGTAGTCAACTTTTCTTGCAGTTCTGAAGACTAGATTAAAATGCTTTTAAATTCTGATGAAATTTATCTCCAATGAGAAATGTTAAGAAGATTTTTTTTCTTCAAATCATTACAATTGTACCATTCGCTTAAAATTATTGCTATTGTGGACTTGTGTAGACCCACATCATTCAGTTTTCTGAAACTTTGAAATTGATCGAGTGAATAGTTAAACAAAACAAAATTGAATGATTTCGATGGAGAACTTGTATTTTGAGTTAACATCATTAACTCTTCACTACGAAGCACAATATCGATTGAAGCGTTTTTAATATTTCCAGTTCAAAACAATGTTATTTATGAAGGAAATGAACACATACATTGTATCTAAGTTTAAAAATGAATTGAAAATAAAAATTCAGTTTGATGCGTTTCATACAAGTTTTACTGAATGTTTTAAAAAGTCAAATAATGAAATTGAATAAAAGACTAAAACAACTATTACTTCTGCTAGACATTAATAACATTCATTTGTAAATTTCTTTTTAGAAACGTTAAATGACAAGTTTAATTGTAATAAATTTTTGATCATTTTGTAAAACGGGACACATTAGGGAGGGTGTGTCGCCATGGTTGTCTAAATAAATTATGCGTGTTCTCGCGAGAAATCGTGAGGAAATTTTCAATAAGAATTCAGAAGGCCGACCACTTCCTTGTGCCGAAGACAACATATAAATGTTTGAGATTAATGAAATTTAACAATGTAAAGACAATAATGGTTACCCTAACAACAAGTAAAGCTAAAATACTAGATTGCGATTATATTTTTTAAGCACTAAGATTTTACCCTCACAAGACTCCAACTTTTTTTCATAGTGCATAGTGTAATGTTCCAATTCTGATTGAATAATTCATGAAATGAAATTCTTTACATGGAATATCAATGCTTTTATTTCAATATTGCATTATCGATCCTTCTGTTCAAAGTAATAAAATTGTATTCATGGACTTCTGGATAGAGATTCCTGGTTTCATATAATTGCTGTTCATCAATAAAGATACCATATCTAAGGTGATATATTTAGTTGTTTCTAGAGGTTCTGAAATTGGAAAATATATGCTATATTTTAGTTTGATTGGAAGATTCGCAGAGTCTTCAGATAAGTGATTAAAGAAGATTGGCAGACAGAAAATTGCTCAAAGTTTACCAGTCATTAATAATATTCATCTCTCAAATGGCGCAGTGGTTAGCGCGTTCGCTCTAGAGTCGCGGAGTAAGGAGTGGACGTGGAGACCGGTTCTTCGGATGAGACCATATAAACCGAGGTCCCGTGTCTTAGTAGGTCCTGGCACGAAAAAGATCCCTCTCTACTCAATGGCCCTGAATGTCGAGTATAGGTCAAAATTTGCAGCTCTCCACCGGCAAGTGGTGGCGACTCCATTGAATGAAAAATTCTCGAGAGGGACGTTAAACAATAAATAAACAAACAAACAAATAACCGCATGCATATCTTGTTATATATAACAGATATTGGAACGAAAATTTTTTGCCGAAAATAACACAATTTTACTGTATATCTCACCAAATGATGAACGATCGTTAACTATGTGTTTTCTACTTACTGATAATCTGGAATATTATTTCTCCAATTGGTATCAGAATTTAATTTTCTCAGATACATGTATTTCAGAAGCTTTGAAATATTATGTAATATTATGACTTTGATAATCCATTTGCGAATGAACATAAAATTTCAATATTTTGACCTATCATTTTGGTAAAATCATTAACCTTTAAGTCTTCATTTACAAAAAAAGTGTGGTATGCCACAGGTAAGCGTAAGTTGGATTGGGCTTCACGAAAATATTGTTCTGAGTATCTTGTATATTATAACGAGGCTAATTCCAGTTATGTTAATGACCAAAAAATGTTACACTAATTGTCTACACAGTTACAGGGTAACAAGCTCAGTGTGATCTAATTAAGTAGTGGACAGTGTCATAGTGACACGACACATTTATCGAACAACTATGCCCTTGTTAACTGGACATGACGCATTTCATGTACGATATCTGTTTTTTTTTTGTCCTACAAACCTTTTAATGTCCTGAATACCTCAATTAACCTTAACATTTTGCTAGAAAATTTATCAGTGCCAGAAATGTAAAACATTTCTGCTGTCGACATTATAAAAAATCTTTTATTAAAACAAGGAAAACATTGCCAAAGATGGGAAAATATGTTTAGGCTTCAATATAAGATCTACCACACTATTTCATAGCAAAGATAGATCAAACATGTATATTTATTCAAATGTCGTATATGCAAGATGAATGCAATGTATAATAAATAAACAGCTAACATGGCATATCTACATTCAGATACAGTATAAAATTCTGATATGCTTTATTTACGTAAGAGTTAATTGAAACCGGTACCACGTCTGAAATCAAGTTTCAGAATGCAAATTATCTTTCAGATTGTTAATGGGAAGAAACATTTGACTTTGTAAATATGCATCTCATTCATGCGATACCGTATTTCTTATTTTTGTTGTCAAAGAGTCATGTTTTTGTTTTGTTTGTTTATTTGGATTTTATGGGTTTTTGTGTTCAGTAGTGTTTTGGTCATGAAAGCTCCAGCTGTAAATGTGCTTTAAGATTAATTATAATTTTGAGGAGATACGTCTGAAGAATGTTTTTTTTTTTTTTTAGATCTGAAACATATGATGGTTTTAAGCTGCTATCGAAATCCTAAGATAATATCAAGATAAATGATTTTTTGATGTATATTAATTCAGTTATTTAATTTTTTCTTGCATCAGACTCGTTATTGAGACATATTTGGTTGTGTTTTATCAGCATTATAAAATACATTTTTCATCTGATGTTAATATTCTGCAAAGTAGGAACTCAAACATATATGCTTTAATTGAACATTGAAATAAATAAATGGTGCCTCATCAAACCACAGTCTCCACCAAATTGTATCATGGTCAGAACTGATGCATCGTCATATCGCATTTATTTAATTGTTTACATGGATTTGACAAAATGTCATATGTGGTGAAAATTTGTGGCAATAAATGTATTTTTAATGGAAAAAGTTGGCCTTACGAAAAGTCTCGTTCTAATTTAAAAAAAAATTATTATTAACTGTTAATGATTTTGCAGAATAACCTTAACACGTTGCTGAAAAGTCTGTCAGTACCAGAAATGTAAAATACATGTATATATGATGCAACATTCCAAAAATATTTTATCAAAATAAGGAAACTATTGCTGTACATAGAAAAGGTGTTTCTTGACTAAAATATAAGATCTACCACACAGTTTTGCAAAAATGTTGGAGCAGACACGTATATTTAAATTTCATGTATGCAAGATGAATGCATTGTGTAATGCATCAAGAGGTAACTTGACATATCTATATTAAGATGCAGTATATATTTCTTGTACATATGTTTTATTTACTTACAACTTAAGTGTGACTACGTTTGAAATTTAATTGCAGAATTTTAATTATTTTGTTTATCCGCAGAAAAATTAGAGTGAGTCAACATGCATTTCTGAATTTGTTGTCATAAAGGTGCATGTAATCATTTGTTGTTTTTTGTTTTGTTTAGTATGTTTAAATGTTTTGGTTTTGTTTATTTATTCAGTTGTGGTTTGATCATGTAATGGTTGAATATATTTTGAATTAAGCTAAATAATGATTTTGTTGAGAAAGGTATAAAATACATTCTTGTTAATTTGCTCTCTGAAACCTATGGTGGCTTTAAGCTGCTATCGAAATCTGAGATGTCAGCAGTAACGATTTTTGATGAATTAATTCTTATATTTTATCCTGTAACTGATGACTGATTAGTATAACATATTTGTTCTCAGCATACATGTCTTCTATTGCGTCCGTAATAACTTGCAGGATGACATAATATCTGAATTCTTTTATTAAGAATTCTTGCATGTCATTATTACAAAGTAATATTTTGACATGACCTTCTTGATTGTTGAGATGATAAAATTACATTTCAAATAAACATAGACCTTTTTTTTCCCAATTGCTAAGGATTTATTTAGGTTTTCCAATTTTTCATAAACTACAAACTACTAGTAGGATTATAATGGCACTAATGTACATGTACATCTATCACTTGGTTACTTAGGAATGTGATATTTATATGAAGACATGAGGAAATGGATGTTTTAAATTTCATTATTGTTGAGGTTGTGACTTTGTAAACGTTGTCAAGGGAAACCAGAAATCTAAGAAATATGTAGTTCTGCGATAAAAAGAGGAATAAACAGTTAAAATAAGATATGCTAGTTTTGACAGTTTCAAACGTTATCCTGAAAATTTTCACAATCTTTAAGGCATGATTTTTGTCATGACCTGTTTAAAAAGTTGCATGGAAGCTGAGCTAAAAGATTTTTAGTCTTTTTTAAGTTAACATAATTATGTATTCTGTATCATGGCATACACAGAGTCGGTCAGCTTTTCCAGTCAATATATTTTGTAGAAAAATAGGTTATCTTGGTTGAGGCAAACATTGTTCTTATTTTTTGTAAGTCATTCCCCTTTAAATCAACAGAAATTGAGTTGGTTTATACAATTTTTGTGATGTTGATTAATCTCATTTGCGCTTATCAAAATCAGGTAACTTTCATTATGTATCTATTTTTAGAATCATCATCTGAAGAAAAGGACGGTTTAGGTAATATTTACGAATTTTTACTCTAAACATTAAGGGCTCCACGTCTGGATTATTATTTCTTGTTACAACTTAGTTAAAAATTGAGTCTTGAGTTATACAAAGGAAACTTATAAGAAGGAAATTATGTAGTAAAGCAAGATATTTTCTTTAAAATTAGGCAATTATTTATCCTTCGACTTAATGTAAATACCTGTTTGTTTATATCTGAATATTTGTTTCATAATTATGATATTCCTTTTGTTTTTCAGTCATGATTTTAGCAATCACGCACATGCGCATTCTCAACAAAAAATTTGTCTCAGAGATGTCCAATTCATCGAGCCCCAAGTTCCTACAGTTCAGTAGCGCTTTTGAAGATGATGTAAGTGGAATAAAATTTTAAATATGATATCATCTTTCCTCAAAATATCTTTAGTTATTGTTTCACAGATTATGTGCTGAAACATATTGTTATACAAGAGGGTACTCATTAAAATACAGTAAGTTTTGAAACTTTCTTTCAACTTCTAAGGTCATGACTTGTAAAGCATAATAACAATAAAGTCTTGAATTTTTTTCATATACTGAATAAATGACCACACATAAATACTGAGACATGATAAAACGAACAATTGACCAACGCATTGTAAAGACTACGGTTTATAAAAAGACATTGGGAGGCAATGATCGTATAGAATAGACAATTATTTATTTTTAATTAGACGTGTGGGTTTAATGTTGCCCAATGATTTTTTGGATTTTGTCTAATGATTAGATCGTCTTGTTGGAACTTAACACTGATAGACATGGGGAATATGACAAAACTTGTCGCCATAAATAAGTAAATTGACCATGTACGTAACAGGAGTTCTTTATACATATATGCATATGTGCCAGAAAGATAAAAGCAAGTGAACCACGCAAAATTTATCTGTAAATGTGATGTTCAAATTATAATATTTAAAATAACCACAACTATCATATCTGAATTACACGTAAAATTCAGTCCTACCAATACAAAAAACCTGTTCATGCTGATTATGTTTATTTTTCTCCGAATAATTCATATATCATGCAGTACAGTCTTAGGTCTTATAACATGAATAAATTATCTTGTTTAAGGAAAGATTTCAGTCTCAAAGGAACTTCATAAATACTCATCATTCCGTTATAACACATTTTTGGATGGCTTTTTGTTGTTCATAAATGAAAATATGTAATCTATAGTAAAATTTTTACAAACTATTTGGTGCTTAAACATTCAGTAAAGCAATTTATGTATAAGGGTACATGTACCTATAAAAAGACATTAAGGTTAAACATTTTATTGCACTGTTTAAGTCATGACTTCACAATCTTTAAAAAGACCGAAGAAAGTTTCGAAATGTTTTTCATATTTACACGAATGTTAAAGATATAATTTACATTCTCACTGAATAAAGGACCATATATGAATTCTGAGACATAACGAACAATTAACCAACGCATTTCTGGACCAGGTCTTATAGAACAAACTAGGAGGCAATGATCGTATAAAAGAGACAATTATTTGTTTTTAATTAGACTTGTGGGTTTTGTATTTAGCTCAATACTTTTTATTCCTGTTTTTGTCTAATGGCTAGGTCGTCTTGTTAGGGCAAAACGCTCATACACATCATATTCTATGGGTAATATATAATGAAGCTTGTCTCCATTAACAAGGAAACTGACCACATTCTTTTGATTAGTTATGGCTATACGTTGGTGAGAGAAAGTATATTTTCTTAATTTAGATGCATTATAATTCTCGTTTCTTATGAATGATTTGGGTTTCTTTAAAGTAGTCATAATGCCGATCTTTTTTCATTGAATTTAAAAAGATACCTGTATATAAGAAAAAAAAATACTTTGCTGCATTATATGTTTATGTGAATGTAGTTCCAGCCGATGTCTTGAATCACAAAACAAAGATCTTAAAACACAAAATTTATTTCTTAATGCATAATTTCCAAGGGAAATCAGTAAAAAAAATTCGACATTCTGTGAATATTTACAAAACATTCTTAGAATTTTCGGTTTGATGTGTAAATGTTTTGTTAAGTGGAATTTTCCTGACTGTAAATTTGGTTTTTCAAAAATGGGTGTTTACATTTTTAGATCAATGATGTCTTTCTCAGGAGCAACATAAGCAGATATTTTTATGGCACAAGCTTGAATGCGCTAAGGTAAGAAATCCCATTTAAGAAATACCTTTTTGCAATTTACTCAGGTGTAAAGGTGTTCATAATAATCAATCTTTGGCTTCCCCTTTAGATAATTATGACGTTTATTGGTGATTTGTGGTAATTTTTTCCTTCAGAGCAAATCACATGTTTGAAAGAGTTGCAACTATGCAATGGTACCGAATATTTGACACAACGTCATATATATTCATTTTATTTCTGATCAATATGTATAGAAGGCGTAAACGGAGTTTATATTTTTCAAAAATCAGATAAGTTTTTGACAAATAAAAAGACCGTCTTTTAATTTTGACAAAGTACTAACGAAGACACAGAATGACGTCGACTTTTCAGAAGAATGAATGTTGAATATATTGTTATAATCTTTAAACGTACATGTAGAAGACGAATTGAAAAATCAAAATATCTTTCAAACTGCAAGGATCAGACGTGTGTATACACTGCAAATCTATTATGGCTGGAGACCATTGATGATAAACTTCCATTCTTTAAGAATATACGCCTAAATTTTTGCTAGAAAATTTATTTTACTTAATCTTTATACGTATAATATCAAATGTTAGTATGTCACTTAAAGATCAAAATTTTAATGCTAGAAAATTGTGGACAATATGTTTTGAAAGCCTTTGAGTCTAAAACTTTTTGGGAAGGGTATTGAACGATGCACATTTTGCAAAAATAAAATCAATTGTATAGTGCAAAGTATCTCAGTATAATATATTGTATTTATTTCATGCGCAACCTTTTGTTTTTGATATGATAGAAAATACCTTCTTCAAATGTTAAAAAAAATTAGTTTTTTATATCAATCAATGGAGAAAAAAAAATATATTGCAGTGAAAAATCCATTAATGAAATTGATATAAAATACTGGATTCATTTCTATTACATTTTCAACAGTGAAATACTGTAATTTATTTATTGAATTTTGTCACAGTGTGAAAGAATATCAATGTGATATTCTGTCACCGTGTGAAATAACATCAGAAGTGCGTCAAAACTCTCAATTTTCCTCCAATTCACGAAGAGCGTTATAAAAATACTACCTGGCATGTTATAAAACAGAGACTAAAACTGCCGAAGTTTCTCCAAATATGTTGTTGAATTATCTGTTTGCAATATTTTCAAGCTCACAATCGCTTATTAGCTTTTACGTGTCTCAACCCGCTCAACTATGTCATCACTGCCTATGACATAGTGTTACAAAAGACAGAGGCAAAGAGAAATTAAAATCAAAGAAAATGTAATAATCAGTAAATTCAACAATTTGTGGATGAATAAGGAATTTCACTTGTGAGACAGGATATGTTTTGATATTTTCACTCTTGCTTTGCACTAGTGAAAATATATATAAAAAAAAAATCCTGTACCAATCGTGAAAATATTCCATTATGATATCCAGCAACAAAACATTGAATACCCATTGATCAAATGATGGTATCTTTGTTTCAGTTTTAGCATCAGTGGAAATTTTAAACTTATGTAAAGCAAATATATTTCATTTATTACGTGGGTGACATTGTTACCCTAGGCCTGAATTATCTATTTTTGAATAATTAGTGTACATTGTATCATATTTGGTTTACATGATACTACTTCTTGTAGATTATTAATGGATCCAAAGTTGACTTTTATGCAAATATTGTATCATCAGTGCATCTTTTAATTTTTCTTTCTTAACATATTAAGAATAAAAGTGTTTAAATGACATCACATTTATGTGTTTTTTGTCTTCAGAAATGGTAGCATTTATACGTACAGTGATCTTTCTTTCCAAGACGTTGAGCATCTACGAGATCCGTCCATTATTCAGAATGTCCTTCGGGATACCTCAGCCCCTTTTACTTACAGAAATATGAAAGCCATTCGTATTGGAGACAACATTGTTGATTACGACAGTATTCATGTAGATTTGTCATTTGTTAACGTTGACAAATTTCCCGATAAACCAAAGCTCAAAGGTGAGAGAGAGAGAGAGAGAGAGAGAGAGAGAGAGAGAGAGAGAGAGAGAGAGATTTAACTCATTATTTTATTTATTATTGAATTGTTTTAGCTCAGCTGATTTAATAGCTTAGATGAACTTTTTTGATCATAGAGTGTCCGTCGTCTGTCTGTCCATGTGTCATTTGTCGTCGTAAAGTTCAAACATTTTCATTTTGCAAATTCAACAAAACTTTCCGCAAAGCCTTGGGTTAAGGGGGCTATCTTCAAGTTATTATAATTTTTTTTTGAATTGTGGGCCTATGGGATAGGCTAGGGCGAAAGTCGGACCAGATTTTACCTAGGACACATGTACTGGAAAAAAATCTTAGAAATTCGCATTCTCCAGAACAGCAAGGCGACCATGTAAGTCATATTGATATTGAAACATAGATGCCAACGAATTGTGGATTCAGATTAGGTTATATATTGAAGCTAGAATGGAGTTTACATTTTTAAAGTAAAAATGCTGATGAAGAACAGCCAAGGTGACCTTAGATGACTGTTGTGGTCCATTTGCCTCTTGTTTTTTCCCTTTTCTATGAATATAGGAAGGTGGATACCATTTTCAAGTACAAATATCTCATTGCAATTGTAAAGGATGAAACGTTGAAAAATTATAATTATCAATTTCAAAGAGCTTTTTTTTTACAGTAGGGAGTCTGAAATAAATTATTCACACCTTTTTTTTTTAAAATGGAATTTGTTATGGCTCCTAGAATCGTGACAGCAAATATATTAGTCGTTTAATTACTTCCACGGCCTATGAATTTTTTTATTACCATAATGAGATGAGAATTTTGTCCCACTTTTTTCAGAGTTACGGCGATTTATAGAGGAAGTGCGAGAAACCAAAAATTCCGAAGAAGCCATTCAAAAAACAACAGGTCCGTATATCATTGTATTATGACATAGCTTAACATATTTTGAAAATATTATATAAACAATTAATGTTAATATAGAAATATTCATGAATTCATGGACATTCATTTTAAATTGAACCTTTGACACTATAAACAATTTCAAATAAACATGTCTTTTTGTCACAAAAAACTATTTTCACGATACCTTATTTAAATTTGATGTAAAAATGCATACCATAGACGCCAATTACATTATAAATATAATTTCTCCCATCAAGATCCTTGTTTGTTATTACTGTCTCCCTCTTAAAGATCACAGGAATTCTACTCGTAGATATTTTGATCAAGGAAAGTAGTTTGTAGACTAAATATAGCATTATTTAAACTACATTATTTATAGTTAGAAAAATGGCAAATGTTGTGGGATCATTGGTCTTAGTTTATCAGGTGCTTTAAATTTTCAATAGATAGAAATAAAACAAATAAAAATGGGTAATTGTATTAATTCTATTTTTTTTTTTTTTGATTATTAGAGAGACCTAAAAAGATACAGCATCTTATTCCAGAGTTTAGTAAGAAAAAACCACTTATCCCGATAAAGGTCAGCATGGAGTCGACATCTGTTGTCGAGAATGAAGAACCGGAAGTTATCAAGTCTGTTCCAGAAACTACAACTTTCTCAAATGATGTATCAAATAGGCTGGAAGAAGTGACAACAGCAATGCCTCTCAATAAGGGCACAACAACATTCGTGTCAAAGTCAACAACAGATGGGGCGAAATCAAGTACAGAAATTAGTGGTAAGCTGTGCTGTAGTTATGTTCCCCAAACGAAGTTGGGGAACATATTGTTTTTACTCTGTTTCTTATTATTAAGGTCTTCCGTCTCCACGGAAGACCTTATAGTGATTCTATTGTTTCTTATTATTATTATTATTATTCTTTTTTTTTTAGACAAAATTTTGTGCACGCGATTTCTCGAAAACTATTCAATGAATTTCTTTGAAATTTTCAGGGATAAAAGGTCTTTGTATGAATTTTATATAAAATTCCGTTTTTTGGTAAATTCGGTTCCAGTGCCAAGTTATGGACAATTTCCTGATTTTAAAATGAAATTTTGTCCTTGAGTGTTCTCAAGAATGGCTCAAGATATGAACTGGAGACTTGTTAGAGATGATAGAACATGATTTCTAGATTGGAGAGGGCACCTTTTCGTTCGTCGTCGGCACTTCCGGTCGCTTACGGAAGTGATCAAAGAAATCGTTAAATTTCAATTTTCTTTTTTTTAATCAATACTTACATCACATTATTGCATCACTTTTGTAGTTCTGGAATATGTTGGTCCCACCGGAAACAAAAACGTCAACTTCCGGTTATAAGAGAAAAACTACATAATTTGAGTATTTTTCTTTCCCATTAATATCTTTTGTAGATAAAGTATTTGGAATGAATTTTAAATATGTTATTCAGACAGCAAATGTCTAGAGTAACCTCAAATATCTTTCAAAAATTCACTTCCGGTCGCGTGCTTTTCTGTCCTCAAAATGAGAAGTTCGCTGAGCAAGATCTCGGAAACGGTAAGAGATTAAGACACCAGACTTATATATGCAACAGACCTTAAGATGTAGCCAAAACCATTTGGGTTCAGAGCGTCAGCCGTCACTTCCGGTCGTCACAGGAAGTGATCAAAGAAATCCAAAATTTCAACTTTTCTTTTTTTATTTAAGAATTGCATCACTTTATTGCATCTTTTTCGCAGATTCGAAAGATGTTGGTCCCACCGGAAACAAAAACGACAACTTCCGGTTATAAGAGAAAAACTGCAAAATTTCGTATTTTACTTTCCTATAAATATTCTTTATAGATAATGTATTTGAAATGAATTTTAAATATGTTATTCAGACTGCAAAGGTCTAGAGTAACCTCAAATATCTTTCAAAAATTCACTTCCGGTCGCGTGTTTTTCTGTCCTCAAAATGAGAAATTGTCTGAGCGAGATCTCAAAAACAGGTAGAAGATTAAAACACCAGACTTATATGAGCAGCAGACCTTGAGGAGTACGCAAAACCATTTTTGTTAAACGCGTCCGTCGTAACTTCCGGTCGTCACAGGAAGTGATCAAAGAAATCAAAAATTTTAACTTTTCTTTTTTAAATTAAAGTTTGCATCACTTTATTGCATCTCTTTCGCTGTTTTGAAATATGTTAGTTTCCACCGGAAACAAAAAAAGACAACATCCGGTTTTAGGTGATAAACTTCGTTATTTCGATATTTAACTTTCTCACAAATATTTCTTATCGATAAAGTACTTGAAATGTTTTTATGCATTTTGTAGATACTGCAAGTGTCTAGAGAAAAGTCAGAGATTTTTTTATAAAATTCACTTCCGGTCGCGTGTTTACCTGTCCTCAAAATTAGAATTTGTTCTCACAATATTGCTCGGCTACAGTAAACGACTGAAGTCTAAAACTTTCAGAACTGATAGTCAGTCATCAGTTTATTTGAATCGCGAGGAAATCTTGTATCGCCGTTACTTCCGGTCGTGACAGGAAGTGATGCAAAAAAGTGAATGGTTAATGGTTAGCACGTTGGATTTTCAGGATGACAGCCAGGGTTAAATCTCCAGAGTGTCTGAATTTCTTTTATCACCTTTTCAGCTTGAATTTTCGTTTTTATTTTCAAAATCGGACGGAAGACCTCTCATTGCTCGCAATGAGTTTCTAGTTATTATTATTTTTCTTCTTCTTCTTCTTCCTGGGTACTTTTTTGTCCGCGAGTGATCTCGTCAACTACTCATCCGATTGAGGTGAAACCTTTTTAGGGTTAATAGGCATGTTATGTAGATTTGCGGAATCAAGGTCATTTTGAGCGCACGTGCATGCACGTGCGTGCGCGTGCAATGCGTAAAATGACCAATATACTTGATATAGCTGTAACTTTTATATTTTTTGATGAAATGCTTTGATACTCAGAATATAAGGATATATTAAAAGTGTAAACAAGATGACATGGTCAACATGCACATGCATGCACGTGTGCGCACGCGCAAAGCGTAAAATGACAAATATACTTGATATATTTGTAACTTTTATACTTTTTGATGAGATGCTTTGATACTCAAAATTTTTATATATATTAAAAGTGTAGACAAGACGACATGGTCATCGTGCACATGCATGCATGCATGCATGCACGTGCGCGCGCGTGCAATGTGTTAAATGACCAATATACTTAATATAGCCGTAATTTTTATATTTTTTTATGAAAAACTTTGATATTAAGAATATACAGATATATTAAAAGTGTAGACAAGATGATGTGGACATCATGCTCATGAATGCACATGCGCGCGCGTGCAATGTGTTAAATGACCAATATACTTAATGTAGCCATAACTTTTATATTTTTTTATGAAAAGCTTTGATACTAAGAATAAACCGACATATTATAAGTGTAAACAAAATGGCATGGTCATTATGAACATGCATGCAGGTGCGCATGCGTGCAATGCTAAGATGACCAATATACTTGATATAGCTGGAACTTATTTATTTTTTGATGAAATGTTTTAATACTGAGAATATAAAGATGCATTAATAGTATAGATGAGATGACATGGTCATCCTGCACATGCATGCACGTGCGCGCGCGTGAAATGCAAAAAACTATCAATATACTTCATTGGCTTATTTAATGAAGCTTACAGGAAATAAGACACCAAAAGGGTGTTGGGGAGCGTTTGGGGAACATCTGTAACGGTCCCCGTTACAATTATAACTAGTTCTGTTTGTGGTGGAATCTTCAAGTAAGATTCTCACTACACAAGCATAATAATTATAACGGATTAAGAAAAGCAATTTTTTAATCTAAATATAATATTCACCCTTCCTGCTTCATTTCTTCAATTATAATGACCAAAACCACTTATTTACTAAAACAATTTTTATATCGCTTCAATTTAAACTTTAATTCTTTAGGTTTTACAACATCTTCATCAGAAACAACATCAAAAATAACAACGACAACAACAACATTGGCGTCAACAACAATATCAACTACAAGAACAAATGATCCTAGAAATGAAATTGATCAATCATCAAACAAGGAAAATGGTATGCAAACCATAAAATGTAATCTTTTCTTTAAACTAATGAAAAAAATCCCTCTATGAATAAGTCTATGGATACCATTAGTATTTACAACTTCGTATCTGTAAAGAAATACATATTGTATTAATATTTCTAGCAAGTTTATATTTACACTATTTTCTTTTTACTTTGAGTTTAAAGCAGATTGACACCTCCACAAAATGACCCTTGTCGACAAATTAGAGGCACAAAGTATTTTTAATTTTAAAAAAAAAAAATTGTACATCCCAGTGTCTGACTGGACAGTATTTTAGAACTTCCAGTGATGCATGTCTTAATAACGTGGATAATTACTGTCTTTCTTTTTCCTAACACGCGTACATTTTTTTAAACAGAATCCTTAACAACCCCTTCAACAACGAAAACTCCTATATCAACGCCATGTAAGTACTGAATTTATATTGTCAAATAAAAGTTATGTATCTGAATTTGAAGAAGTACCTATTACACTTTTTTCTGTAAGAATGTGAACGTCTATAAGTTACATGTAATATCTTAAAAAGTGATAATTTGCAAAATCAGTCTTTGATGTGTTGGCGAGGGTCTCCCGAGTTATAACTATATAAAATTGAATTGTAAAATTCTACATCTGCAGATGTGAAAGTGACAACAGAAACAGAAGCGGTCGGAACAACAGGTGACCATAATGCCACGGTCACGTGTAACTTTGGTAATCTGGAAGACTGGAAATTCCTCATCATTCGGAATATGCCATACAAGGGAAAACCCTATCTTGTTATGAATTTAACTTCTGACGAAATGATCACAATTCCTCCTGAAATCAAAGATAGACTCTATTTGAACCTGGATGTTAATAGCGTTTCCGGTACGATTCGTATCAGCTTCCTGTTGCAATGTGGAGATCTTGGAAGATACGAGTGTAAAGTACACAAGGGAGATTACTCGTTTATAGGTGGCGGCGAATTAAAATGTAAGAATTTCTTTTGATAAAAATGTTTAATTCACGTTATAACTAATTTGATGGTAATATATATACAAATATTTAACTGTTCGTAATTTTATAATCAGATATACTTGATACGTAATAATTTGTGTTTAACATTTTTTCCCGTCAAAAATCAGTCACGGCAATTTTTTTTCTTTTCAAATTAACAAAAAATGATGCAATTTTTCATGAATTTTGTGGGATGATTGCTAAATAAATCCACCCTAAAAGTGTAATTACATACCAGTTTTTAAGTGGCATTCAATTAAAATGTTTTTGAATTGTCCGATTTATGTTTTGTGCAGTGTTACCTACAAAACCCAAAGTTACCTTGCCCGTGGAAATCATTGAAGGCAAAGCATTACAAGAGCCGCTATTGTGTACAATCAATGTCGGATTTCCAGCGGTAAAATCTGAATTTGAATGGCTGTTCAAGGCGCAAGGAATGGATTCATTTCAAAGAATAGGCAGTAAGTAGTGTGCTTTAGTTTACATAGACAAAGTTGGATAGTTTATGGGAATACTATTCCAATTACGTGCTTCATGTCAACACTCGTTCTGTACGCAATTTTTTTTGAAACATATTCATACCAAAGTAACTATAGGAGAGACCTGGACAAACATACTTTGGTTACTTTTGTGATGTAATATAAAGAGGAACTTATTTGTAAAAAAAAAATATACATTGATCTCGAAACTAAGTCCTTATGTGAAACACACCTGAATATCATCTTAAAGAATAAAAAATGATAAAGAGCATTAGTTTATTATTTTTATTTAATACAAGTAGTACACAAGATAAATACCTTGTAAAAATTGTAAATTTGAGTTGCTCTCTGTTATATAGATACTGACAATAGTCCTAAGAGAAGCGGCGTATGCGGACAAATCAAGACAATACGACTCGAGCTGAAGGAGCCACCAATGGTTAATGACGTCCAAGTGAAGTGTGTGGTCAAGCGAGCAAATGCCGGACTTTCTTCCTTAGCTCTAGAGGATGTTGCAACCATTGAAATTGTTCCTAGTAAGTCATGCCTATTGTTTCTTGTTGTCAAGAACTACGACAAAATCTCGTATGTCAAATTGGTGCCTGCATTTTGATTCATGAGGATTCATATTTAGAAAAATCTTAATCAATTTTAGTTTTATTTTTGATATATATCTTTATATGTTATCTATTTTTTTTTCACCCAAACATGGTTTATATCTAGAAAGAAAAAGAAATACAGAGAAATAGTTTCACTTCTGAAGTTCAAAACATATATTTGCGCTCAAATTTTGTTTCATAAAACGTTATGAACTTTAATAATTTTAATGTAAACCTTTCCAAATGTCAGACGTCATGAAGCGACTATTTTTCTTTTTTGGAATACAATTGCTTGTCGGATTATATAATGTAAAAGTTTATGAGAAATAGAGATTTTTAGTTTGCCAAATTTATTCGCGCCCTGCTTTGCTACATTTTACAAAACGGAAAAAAAATTATTTTTAATTTAAAACTTATGACCAAGAAAGTATTTCTTAATAATTAAGCATTCAATTCCAATTTCTGAGAATTCTTTACTCTCTGTTTTTTTAAAGGAAATGAAACACGATTTCTTGTTTAATAAATCTGAGTCTCTTTACAGGCAGTCTTTGTAATGGCGTTAGTGATAATACCTTGATTAAACATCCCTACACGTGTGATAAGTACGTACAGTGTACAAACACAGACATGCAGGTCAAACAATGCCCAGACAATCTGTGCTTCGATCCGACAAGTCAAAGATGTGGACAAACAGGTACATATCTAAATTAATAATATTTTTCTGGAGGGTATTGATGTCAATATTTAAAAGCTACAAAATCTTTTGGTGATAAACTCAATTTAGGTATTAAACATTTGACTAAGCCTAGCTATTGATGAAGTATTACTTAGAACATAAACAATCTTTCCAATGCTTCCCGGTAATGTAGTCTTTAAATGTTATGCTTGTTCTGCAGATCTATTGCTCCATCTATTGTATACTTTTGAATGTCCTGAGAATATTTTTACAATGAATAATGTTCAGACGGGGACATATTGGTTCGATTATTGTAAACATATTTGAAAATTTACTACATAAACAAAAATTTTTACATTACTTTGGGTCGTATTTTGACTGTCATGTTCCATGCTAATTGTTAGGTCATTGCTTTTATACTTAATTGACTACGGAGTACTCCCTATACCTGATCAATATATAGGACTCGAGATGAGCGTGACCGGTCGACAGGGGATGCTTACTCCTCCTAGGCACCTGATCCCACCTTTGATGTTTCCAGGGGTCCGTGTTTTTGCCATGCTCATGATTCTTTTTTTTTTGTTTACTGGATTATTAAGATTGATCAATTTTCATTATCTTCAACTTTTACATGCCGTCACGGTAGCTCAGTCGGTAGAGCGCTCGCTCCGTGATCGGAAGGTCGTGTCTTCGAATTACGGCCGCGACTGTCCCAAGTCGATAAAAAATAGGTAGCAACTGTTCCTTCACCAAGCGCTCGGCACTTTGAAGTGAAAGTTACGGGTCCTTCGGATGAGACCTTAAAAACCGAGGCCCCGTGTCACGGTAGGCGTTGGCACGATAAAGAACCCTCACTGCTCAATGGCCCTGAGTGCCGAGTAAAGGTCTAAATTTGAAGCCCTTCACCGGTATTTGGTGACGTCTCTATATGTGTGAAAAATTCTTGAAGGGGACGTAAAACAACATACAATCAATCAATTAATCAATCAACTTTTACATTCTGACAGTAAGTTTAATGCAGTCATAGTGAATCCTCTGCCATAATTCAGTCTCATGTGAATATTTCGTTGAAAGCGATTATGTAGTCGATGCTATACTACAAAAAGATATTTTGTATATGACAAAAACCTTCATAAATTCATTTCAATATGTCGTTGAAGGCCTTGAAATGACATCAGCAGATGCTTACTTGAATGAAGGCGTGACCTTGCTTTCTTGTCGATTGCTTCATGTCGGTGCATGGACGTCAATATCCATCTACAAACATGCCTCTAATGGAAACAAATCAAGGATTCTCATTGCTTACAACGATTCCACCAATCCAGAAGTGGAGAAGGAAGTTAGCCATCGCTTCAGAGCTACCATCGATAAACCTTCCAAGTATGAGGTTAATATTACTTTGTGGGTCTATTCCTTGGAGTGCAAGGATGAAGGTCAATTTTCCTGCACGGCCGATGTACCATTTGCAGTTCCTGAAGCATTCGGCAGACTAAATATTAAAGGTAATTTTATCTTTAAAAGATTCCCCTTACAATTAAAAATTGAATTAAAAAAAATATGTAAGTATTTGCTCACTTGATATAACAAATGAAATGTTAAGTAATTTTAGCGCATCTTTCTGGATTGGATAAAATGGAGTCAATTGTGTCAAGGCATGGATGTGTAAATTATAATTTTAAGGAAACATTTATTGTTTTCGTTACAGCAAAACCGGATGTTCCTTCAATTACGATACCTACTGAAATAATTGACAGCCGAGAACCAAGGGAGTGGTTCAAATGTGAAGGAAACGTGGGATACCCTAAAGGGAAGATGTATTGGGAAATCAGACTAAGGGGGAATGCTGAGTTTACAAATCAGATACCATTCCAAACCAAGCGTGATCATGAAAATACAACTAACTGTAAATCGTACGTCACGAACGAATTCCGTTTCACACCAAATAAAAAACATGATGGAATGGAAGTGAGATGTGTTGTTGAAAACCAGGACACAATGCCCAGTGGCAGACGACTTTATACCACAAAGAAAATTCATGTGATTCCAGGTAAAAATTAATTATACTGCGAAATTTAAAATTTATTTATTTGTTCACAATGTTCATGGAAAATGTTTTGAATATTGACATAAGAAATTTAAAACCTCTGTAATATACTCAACTTTTACATTTTTTTTGGTGTTTTAAAAAAAGAATGTAACTGTGATATGAAAAATGTAGTAAAAATATTTAAATAAATTGAGAGCTAAGTCATAAGATTGGAAAAGCGAAAAATACTATGCTTCATACATTGTGCATTTATACATGTCACTAAGAATAATGTTTCTTTAAAAGAATATGTAAACATTAATTGATTAATAACACAATCTGTTTTCTGTATTACACGTATTCAGGATCATAAGATACAATGTATTTAATTTCAAACATCTTTTTCAGCTAACTTTTGTGCAGGCATATCACGTGACAAGCGTGCGCATCCTAACAACTGTTATCAGTATATACAGTGTCATGATGGCTACACATATGTACAAAGGTGTAGTATAGGGCTCTGTTTTAACCCGGAAACTCAAGAATGTGATATTAGACAGGAAAAGGAAGTTGACGTGATTGGTAATATTCGATAGTTTTATCTTAAAGTTTTAATCTTACAATGCTTTTTTCATCCAATATGCTTTAAATTTATGAGCATTTTCTAGCTATAACCTTACTCACATACATATTGATATAATAATGATATCCTTTTCTTTAATGTTTTGTTCCTTTTTGAACAGATCCAGAATTCCCCTGCAAACCAAACAGAAACGGAGTATATTTCCCTCATGATTCAATCTGCAACAAGTATATATGGTGTGTCCAAGGTCAAGAGGTCATACAGCACTGTCCCTTGGGGACACAGTATTTTAAGGATGGTCAATGTACTTTTGAAGAAGACAAATTTCATTGCAGTAGAAATTCTACCTCTGCTTAATAATTAAACATCCAAGGCCAAAGTGATTGAACACCGAAGCTTTTCATCACCGTCATATGTGATATGTTTCTTAGAGTCATTGCTAATTTGACATGCTTGACCAAGTGCTGATGCATATGTATGAAAGAATTTTGTGTTTGCAATCTGGAATCTGTTTTTGAAAACGCAGGAGTTGTGTATTCAAAAATAATCCTTGACAGAAGACAAGTTTTTCATTGAAATTGAATACTTTTATACACGGACATGCCGTAAATAACTCGACCTTTTATGAAAGTTGTACTGTAACAGAACACTCTGGTTTAAGAGAAGATGTGGTATTTGTTTTTTTCAGCATTTAAAAGTTTTGCTCCTAATATTGCTATAATTTTGAGAAAAAAGTGGACAGGTTAGTTGTTGTATGTGCATCGAATTTCCAGGTCTGCATAGTATTCAGATCGAATGCCAAGGTAGGATTATTCGAACAGCTGTTTTACTGCACAGATTTTAGTAATATTCATGGACACTAGAATGTGTTGCATATCATGTTACAGATCTTCTCTATCTACATATTTTTCATATAGATATCTCATGTGATATATAATTTGTAAATTGGTGCCTTAATAATCTACAAATTCTTGTTATGACACGTAATCTACAATCAAAGATGACCTTAATAGTGTTTGATTTATATGAGAGTGCTACTACTTTTTTTTTCAAAATGTTGAGAACGTGTAAAATACAGGTGCTCTTTTTATTGTGTATGATTTACTTAACTTTTCTTGTTGACATATCATTAAATGATTTGTTCATTGTAAATTTTTCATGATATACATCATAGAAATATGATCTTGAAATAAGTTATACATTTATTTTAATCTTTTATGTTGTTATACTTGTTACAAATGCAAATAAATTATTTTAAAATTACTACAAATTGATTTGATTGCTGAACCGACCATCACAACAGGCATCTAGGAAATTGTAGATTATAGAGAAGAAAAAGACTTAGACCAAATACACATAAATATTTTCTTTTTTCGGAAAAGAGAACCATAATTAATAAAATATATCTTTGATATTCAGCATCTCAAGAAGCCTATTGCGCAAACTTTTAAAGCTGACGTTTTATTGTGACGTAATAATACAAAAGTCAATAATGTTTAAAATAATGTTTAAAATTGCTATGAATATTTAAAAAAATCACTGAAAAGGCAAGAGGAAACAGTGGAATGGATTAAATGCGCCATCTTCTATCGTTTTGGAATTATTTTCGCTATATTCTTGCCTACAAGGCCTTTTTTTATTTTACTGTTTGATAACTGGTTTTTGAAGGCAATGACACCAGTCTGACAAAATTGAATTTCCAACCAAACAGGAAAACGGCTTAGATGAAATTGGAAGCAAAATATTTATTCTTGGATACCAATCTAGGATCTCCAAGGACATTTGTCAAGGATTTAAATTCTGTGAGGTTAAGCTTAACAAATTATAAAGGTCTTTTTTTTATATACCAGATTGAGATCATTTGAACCAATACAGCGTTGATGCTTATATAGAACAAATACAGACAATTTATTTGAACACCGAATGAAATAAATTCACAATACAATATGTACAGAAAGAAAAGAAATCTTTCTATGTGGAAAACACGTCTAAATAAAAAAAAAACTCCAAACATACTGGAAAGCAGTACAGAGTAAACAACTAAGACGAGAGGTCGCCCGCTTGGCACAGTGGTTAGAGCGTCTGCTCTAAAGTCGCTGAGTAAGGAGTTGATCCTTACGTTGCAAGTTCGAATCCCACTGTGGGACGTGGAGACCGGTCCTTCAGAGGAGACCGTATAAACCGAGATCCCGTGTCGCCGTAGGTGCTGGCACGAAAAAGATCCCTCACTGCTCAATGGCCCCGAGTGGCGAGTATAGGTAAAAAAAATTGCAGCACTCCTCAGGCAAGTGATGGCGTCTCCATTTGAGTGAAACATTCTCGAGAGGGACGTTAAACAAGAAACAAACTAAGAAGACAGAGAAACATTCTTCCAATTTAAACAGCATAAAAGTATAAATAATGAAGCAATAAAACATCCATATATGAAACAGATCTGGTATAATCTGTTGTGTCTTTATTTCAAGTTAACTGGGGTATATCGAGTCGACATATGAATGAAAGTATCTATTGTTAATTAATAATCCGTCGTTAATATATAAATTATGTATATGTCTAAATGTTGCGTTGAATGCCACAACAAGTGTTTTCTTCTTCTCTTGTAGAAAGTTTTGTATAAATATGCTTCAAAAGAATATTAAAACGGATCGGCTTATAAAGGAGCACAATTAGTTTCCAGCAGTATTCCAACAGGTTGTTAGAAGACCTGGTCACCAAAGACTAAATAGATAATGTCAAGGAGGAACTCCAGCATCTTTTAATACCAACTTCAGAGTACTTGTTTGTAGAGAACCAGAATGATTTTCTACAAAGTAATTTCATAGATGACCAATCACAATAAAAAGAGTTCCAATTTTATTGAGAAAACAGTTGTCTATGATGTCAAAGAGCCTACTCTTTAATTTTTCTAGAGGAATGATTATATAAACGTAGAATACGATGGAAGTTTCTGCTCCATATTAGTTCATATTTTGGTTAGGAGTAAGGATAAGGGCTGGGTTGAATATTTACTGAACACTTCAATATATCTTTGTAAGGATTTGATGAAGTTTTGGAATCCAGTATCGGTACGATCAATCAAACTCGCTTCCATTGACTGGAATGCTTAAAGTATTTACAACTGAAATGTGATATTTAAAAATTTCATCTTTTGAAAGGAATCTGTGAGTATGGGTTGGATAAACAAATGTGGAATTAAAACAGAGTTCTTCTAAATTGCAGTTTCAAAAATGAGCATTACAAAAAAGACTAAAAAACAGACTATACTGTTTCAAGCTTTGTCGGCTGGAACCAAAACATTTTTCATGTATACTGAAAGCTGAAGGATAAACAGATTGCATTTGCCCTATAATTTTCTAATTGGATTCTTTAATATATATCTAAAACGCTTTATTCATTCTGACATAGTGACAAGATCTTTTTATATATAGAAACAATGTATGAAGATAAAGGATCTAAATTATAGTAGAAGACAATCATCAAATTTTTAAAATATCAACGCCTTACGAAAGCCAAATTTACGTTTAAAAAGAAGCAATAATTATTATGGCTTCTAAATTTGACAATTGGAGCTATGGAAATTAATTGTGGAAACTCGATCAAGTCAAAAAACGGAAAAACCTACATGAACTGTAAATCCAGAAATGTCAGATGTTGTATGACATACCACGGTTGTGGTCAAATCATGAATCAGTAGTTTAGGGGATCAGCTCTTCCCAACTCTCCCTGTAACGTACATTTTGATGTATGAAGTAATGAACTACTTATATATTTTTTTCGTTTTGTAATATTATCGAAGAAAATTAAAAGTTTTTGGCGGGTCTAAAAGCAAAATTTCGTTAATAAAGTTTACCTCAGCTTAACCAAAAAAATGACTATCTACGTCAATGACTTCACATTGCGCTATATTTATTATTATCTTTTTTCGAACATCTATTGCATGAACGTTTGACTTTTTTGCTATGTTTGATAAAAACGATGATGTCAAGGTTTCAAGTTGTTTTTATTAATAATTAAAAAAAAAACCAAACCCACTGTAGAGCAATCTAAACTTTTTGTGAGGTATTCCGGCTGTACAATTTTCATTATCATAGTACGATCGCTGATTGGTCAACAAAGTAAGACTCCAATTAAACGAAACAGTAGGGAAGGAAGTAAAATTTCGTATCCTACACTTGGACGCCCAGGAAGAAGAAAAACTGATCAGAGCATTTAGGCTGGAACAAATGGGCGCAAGTATTTACATTTTACTAAATTCTATTTTAGTTATAATATAATTACATGTACTTTGTTTAATTACCAGAAAGTCTGGTGATAGAACATTTGTATGCGATCATTTCTACGTTTTTTGACTATAGTATATTACGAATTCTATTAAAATATGTATTTGTTTTCTGAATACTCTTTTTGCTAAATATAGCAAGTATTACAATCACAGAATAACTAGAATATGTGCTACATAATTTTTCTACTATATTTTGTTATTTATAATGTTTTTTTTATATTCAAGTGTTTCTTAAAAAAGATTTCACACACATGGACTCCCAATGTTTGTGTGCGCAACTTTCGTTTTGAAGTATGTTGTAAATTATGTTTCAGATACTTTCAATGACCTGACATTTGAGCAATTAAAAAAAAGCACATGGTGTACCTACCACTAGATAATTAAAACAGTGCATACTTAGTGCACTGAAGCAATCATCGTGGAGGCACTTTAAATGTTAACAATGCACTGATTCTGCACTACAATTAAGCGACGTACAATTAAATCTTATCAAGGATCATATGAAAAAAATGAACACATATTCATACATCATTTTAATATAAAAAAGTCAAGTTCATTATTTTATATAAAGCACAAACAAGCTTTGTTTAGTCTAAACACAGACTTAAAAAAGATTAGATAAAGAAAAATGAACAGCACCTCATTCACCAACACATAAAATTACTAAATAATTATCTGCAATTCAAAAAAGCACAACAATGTAGTTACATAGAAATGAAGTTAGCACCAAAGTAAGTACGAAGCTGTGGTTAGAAATCTCCATAGGTGTTGATATGCAACGTCAAAACTTTAGTAAGGCTAATTTGTCACAATGTTAACCTAAGTCAATTGTTTAATTTCTGACAAAAATGTGTAAGAAAACTAAAAACTTTGATATAATATTGTGTATATCACCCCGAATTGACCTTCTTCGTTTCTTTTTTAAAGGATACTATTCTAAATGTTTCATATAAAACTACAAATCTTCTTAGTTATTTCTATTACTTTGAATTTTTGCATGCAATTTGAAGGAATTCTGCAAATACAGGGGAAACAATAACAATATTACAATAAATATATTAATCAAATTTCTCCGACGTCGTTTTAGATGACGTAATAATTCTAATTATTATATGATTGAATATTTCCCATCTCTTTGATTAGCTGAGATCCAACAATATTAGAAAATTACTATGTTATATTGACCTGCACGTGACCTTCCAGGTCAATATAAGGAATTATTCGAGGTCAATATAAGGAATTATTTATTCTACATTGGACCAAAAATAGATAATCATATAATAAAACCGTTATTGCTGTTTTTTGAGGTCAATACGATGATTTAGACACCTGAGGAGTACAATATTCACCGAGCCCGTAATTGTATAATATTGACTGTGTCCATCAGTTTATAGCCCATGATTTCAACAAATCTACGCAAAACTAAACGGTGCCTCACAATCAATATTCATATTGTCGACTTGAGGTCTATTTCTATTCAAAACTACAAACCTAAGTTTGACCAAAATCCCTCACAAGTGGAAATGTATGAATTAACTTGCATCCACAAAACATGGGAATTTTTACTTTTTAATTCCTCTCATATTGGACTCACTTATCTAAAGACATACCTTTATATATTGCTTCTCTAAAACCCTACGTGAACCTCTGACACCCTGATGTTGACCCACTCTTTATTTTTCGTGGTCATGTTTTCAGAAACATGCAACTACATAGTACATAGTATATTTTAACAGTTAACCATAAACTTGGGCACTTTTTAACCCGCCCTTGTTTCTTATTGACAATATCTACATGTATGTAGACCAGGTTTTCAAACAATCAATTTAAATTTCTATGGGCACTAACTGTGTCCATTTATTAGAAGAAAACTGTTGGAGTGGCTTTCAACTCGACATTTAGATATACCAACGACGTTTTATCAATCAAGAATAATTACCTCCATTTATATGTCGACTCGATATATCCTAATGCAATA